TCCCGATTCGGATAGGGAAACCAGTTTTCTAGACTTCTTGGTTCCCAAAGGTCTTGATTTCTAAAACCCTTCTGAAAGAAGGTGCCTGCCTGTCTTATTTACCTAGGGGGTTCGCAAAGCCCTGAGGCTCTAGGCTCAGCCCTTTCCACCTGTCCTTGCCTGGACTGTTTTCAGTGTATTTCCCAATCTTGGGTAAAAATACGGACTCTTGGGGGGAGTAAATCGTGTATCATTTACCTTCCAGACAATTCTCTGAATATTTGTGTTGCCTTTATCCCCTGACTACCCCAAGTTAGAACATGTCAGTGACACAGAACATCAGTTAGTCTCATTCACTAACTTCTGAGACTTTCCTTCATTTATTTGAAAAATACCAAGCTCCTACTCTGCTATAGGTATTGTGAGTGTGAATTCAGGACACACAAGACTGGGCATGTGCCCCAAAGATCCTTAAAGCTCAGTGCAGGAGAGGCTCCACCAGAGACACAGACAAATTTACAATGCCACCAAAGAGTTATGGAGGATGAGGGTAGTGTGGGGAGGAAGAGTGGGAGATGGATAGAGGGAGGAAGGGAGGGGAGAGAAAGGAGAGAGAGAGAGAGAGAGAGAGAGAGAGAGAGAGAGAGAGAGAGAGAAACAGTTTTATCATACCTGCAATAGCCAGGCTTGGTGGTGGACACCTGTAACCCCAGCATTCTAGAGCTGAGGCAGGAGGTTGTGGAGCTCAAGGCCAGCAAGAGGTATATAGTTAGTTCCAGGTTCAACCTGAACTACAAGGAAAGAGCCTATCTAAAAGTAAAATTATCATACACATCCTCGAAATGTTATCAACATGTTCCTTTAGTTATTCCTTGTTCCCAATTTTTAAAAATTATTTATGTGTATATTTTCCATCTGTAAAAGTCAGAAGAGGGTGTTGGATGCTCTGGAGCTGGAGTTGTAAGTGGTTGTGAGAGTTCTGATGGGGATGCTGGGAATTGAACCTGGTCCTCTGGAAGAGCTGCAAGCACTCTTTTATATATATATATTTATATATATAACAACAACAAAACAGAGTTTTTGTTTCCATCCCATTGGGCAGGCCTCGGCGGGCCTTGGCAGGGTGGGGAGCAGGCTCTCATAAAGGGAAGAGGCCTCTTCTCTACTTGCGATGAGTGATGAGCGGTTCCACAGCACCACGATGACTGAGTCTCGCGCAGAAATATCTTAGAAATGTAGCGGTCCTTGCCGACAGGCTTGGACTTCTTGCCCTTGTCGCTCTTGGGGACCTCAGTCCATATCTCCTTCGTGTTCTCCAGCACCATGTTGCAATGCCTATCAAAGGTCTTCACCCGTCCCAGGAGCTTCTTGTTCTGACAGCTAATGAGCACTTGTGTGTTCTTGACTGACTGTGTGAGCATCGAGAGTGCTGGGATTAAAGGCATGCACCACTACTGCCTGGCTTCCAAACACATTCTTGATTTTCAATTTGGTCTAACAGATATCTGGATGCCAGGATAAGAAGGCACCTTTAACCAATTTAAGAAACTGAAAAATCACAGTTTCTTAAATTTACAACCACAAATTAACAATTTAGAACACAACTAATTCATTCAAGTCTCCAAATCTGATTCATGTGATGGACCTTGGTGTCCACCAGTGATGATTAGGGCTTTCTTCTTTTTCTGTTTCTATTCCATCTTGAGAAGGCCTGTCTTTACCTCTGTTTCTGCACCACATTATCAACCCTGCCCCCAGAAATGCCCTCACTGACATACCCAGAAGTCTGCTAGACTAGCACAGATTGGTTAGTTCAGAAGATGCTGGATAAGTAAAGAATACTCTCCTAGGTATGTCTCCATCCAGTAAGGTTGGCAGTTAAAAGGAACCATCATAGCCAGTTTGTGGCTTCTACCTCTTGGAGGCAATTATGTAATCTCAGAAGTTTCTCTGCTTAAAAGAAGGGGAGAAGCTGGGCGGTGGTGGCGCATGCCTTTAATCCCAGCACTCGGGAGGCAGAGGCAGGCGGATCTCTGTGAGTTCGAGGCCGGGCTGGACCGATAGCCTCCGAAACAATACAGAGAAACCCTGTCTCGTAAAAACCAAAAAAAAAAAAAAAAAAAAGAAGGGGAGAGATTCTGGGAGTATAGTTTAGTGGTAGAACATTTTCTCAGTATGTGCAACACCCAGGGTTTGATCTCCAATACCACAAAAACTCAATTGCTTTAAAAGTTTTAAATGTGTTGGGAAGATGCCAGATGCCCATAAAGTATGGGGAATGCTGGAATGCTCTGAATTAGCCATAAAGTACAGGGAATACTGGCATGCTCTGTGTTAGTGCTCCTCCAGCCTTCCGGAGAAATCAGGCAACAATCAGGCTCAAGTGTAGATTTCTGTTCAAAAGTCAAGAAGAGTGGGAGAATGAGATTTTGATTTGTTTTTACAGCCAACAATTTTGCTAAGCACTATTCTGTGTTTTAATTGGGTTAATTTGTTAATTCTCCCAGCTCTGTGCCAGAACAATCTGGAATGAAAAATGGGCTCCAGGTTGCAATAGGCTGAAGAGAGAGGCGAAAAGATCCCAGACTGTATGGAGCTTATGAGACTTGCTATGGAAGTGTGGCAACAACAGCAAGGGATGGACACCTGCAATTTCAGTCAGAAGAAAGGGAACTTATTCTGGTAAAAGCAAAAGTGACTTCAAGGTAGGACATCCCTGTTTTATCTAACCCAAATGAAGGACATCAGGCATTGGTTGTGCTGGGATCCAGTTATAAAGCGCCACATACAATTTAATTTACTTACAATGTACCAGGAATCATTTGGGGAAAGCCAACTAAAGTTACTCAGAGGCAACCATGGTTATGACTCAAGATGGCTTCGATTAGGTCAAGCTGACTTTGCACAAACTCTATGATGTAGAAAGCCTGTTTATGTACAAATTTCTTTGGGGAAAATGTTACCATCATTGTAAGATTATTTTCCTTTCCTCTTTCTGTTTCTCTCTGTCTGTGTGTCTGTCTGTCTGTCTCTTTCCAGAGTATCATTGTGTAGCCCTGGCTTGTCTGGAACTCTCTATGTAGTTCAAGCTGAACTCAAACAGATCCACCTGCCCCCTTAGTGCTGTGTTGAAAGGCATCAACTTCAGTGCTCAGCCCTTATTGTAAATTTCTTTTCTCTTTTCCTGCTTTCCTTTCTCCCTCCCTTCCTCCCCCCTCCCTTCCATGTATGAGTGCATTGTCTGCATGTATACCAGCATACCAAAAGGGGGCATCAGATCCCATTATAGATTGCTGTAAGTCACCATGTGGTTGCTGGGAATTGAACTCAAGACCTCTGGAAGAGCAGTCAATGCTCTTAACAGCTGAGCCATCTCTTCAGCCCATAAATTTTTTAATAAGAGCACTCATTCAAGAGACAGTGTTTTCCTTTTGAAACAATTCTGTTCTGTACCCACAACCAGTGAAAAACTCAACCTCTTTTTTAAAAGCAGGTGATTAGGAATCTAGCATTTCATCATAAGGACTTCTGAGCTGCAGAGATACCTCAGTCTGCTCTGGAATAAGACTAACATCTCCAGTCCTTCATTTGGTTTGATAAGACCTTTGTTTAGACTAGCTTTGAGCTCACTATGTGTTCAAAGATGACCTAAAACTTCCAAACCCCCTACATTCACCTCCCAATAGAATTCAGCTAAAAAACTTTTTTGATATTCTCCAGAATGCTAATACATAAGAATAGTCTAAACCAACATTATATTTATATCATAATATCATAAATGCCCATGAAAAATTCATGCTCGCATTCTTGAATTGGACTAGACAGTTGTCTAGCTTTTTTAGACACTGGTATCCAAATGATTACCTATGGAATCCCACTGTGAAGACTAAACAGGGTTATAGTCCATTATTATAGGCACTTTGTAAAAAGAAAAGACTGAACTAATTCCTTCTTGGTAGAAGGAAAGCTCCCTTATAGGATTCTGGATTTTGACATAGGAACACAAAGAGGCTGAGATTTTTCAAGAGACAAAAGGGTATGGAGCAGAAAGTCCTTTGGCACAACTGCACACCTCACGGTGCCAGCATCCCAACTGGGTTTCTTCTCCAGCAACAGGAAGTTTCTAGAGGACTTTGCTTCCCCTGACTTGGTCTCTTTGTTGAGTCTATACTTTAGGTCTTTTATGAATCCTAAAAGGCACAAATATCCTTTCTATAATTCCCTCTCCAAGGAAGTTAGCCAACATAGATTTCAGCATTTCTCATTTAAGAACTGTAGCACCCTGGGAAGATGGCTCGGTTGATAAAGTACTTGCCATGCAACCGTCGTAGCAACTTTCATTCTTTTTTTCCCCTGCTTATTTACTTGTTTGTTTTTATTTTATTCATTCATTTTGTTTTTGTTTGTCGAGACAGGGTTTCTCTGTGTAACTCGGCTGTCCTAGAACTTACTCTGTAGACCAGGCTGACCTCGAATTCACAGAGATCCACCTGCACCTGCCTCCTAAGTGCTGGGATTGAAGGCATGCGCCACCACCGCCTGGCTTGTCTGTTTTTAAGAAAAGACAACAATTATTATTATATTGCTTGTTCGTTTTTATTCTGAGACACGCTCTTGCGTAACCCTAGAACTGAAACTAACGCTGCTTCTGCCTCTGCCCCCTGAGCGCGGAGACTACAGGTGTGCGCTGCCTTGCCCACTCTGCCTATTTTAGGTAAACTTTTAACTGTTTCACAGACCCGGGGAAGTAGTACCTCACCCTATGGAATTTGTATCATCATCTCCATCCAACTCTTTTACATGGCGCCCTCCCGAAGATTTCCTTTAGAAAATAACCTCTGATCTCTTTGATGAGGGGAGTCTGTGTACAGTCAGTTGCTGCACACGCCACTGGAGGGAACACATCCTCAGACACCTAACTTTTCCAACACAACTCACTCGCTCCCTTCTTGCTAACCCCGCCTGTCTGGGTCTCTCTGATTGGTTGCTTCCATATGACGCCATCAGATTGCGACCCTGAAGCAGTTGGCCGGGCTGTCATGTGGCGGGGTGTCCACGGCTGCCTAGGCATCCTTGTGCAGTGGCGGGCGGCGCTCTGGTCCCATAGCTTTGCCAGCACTTGGAGTGGCTATAAGGAGGCGATGGCTGAGGCACTGTCCACCCAGGCCAAAGCAACAGGCGGGTTGAAGGCTCTGGTTCAGCAAAATGGAGACTCTGGTAGTGACCAGAGCAGAGAGCCGCTCGTGGAGGGCCTGGATCCGGCGGCGGTGGGGAAACAGGTCCCTGGGAGCCGGGGGCCGGCCCAGGGAGGCGAAGAGCAGGTCTCGGGGAGCGGGGAGCAGGCCCCAGCTCCAGTCGCCGACTCAGGCAAGAGGAAGAAGCGGCGAGGTGCCACCGGGGAACGGGTCGTGCCGCCCCCGAAGAAACGGCGGACTGGGGTCAGCTTTGGCGATGAGCACTTTGCAGAGACTACCTACTACTTCGAGGGCGGCCTGCGCAAGGTTCGGCCCTATTACTTTGACTTCCAGACCTACTGTAAAGGTCGCTGGGTGGGCCGCAGCTTGTTGCACGTCTTCAGCACCGAGTTCCGATCCCAGCCACTGGCGTACTACGAGGCTGCAGTCCGGGCGGGACGCCTGCATCTCAACGAGGAACCAGTTCAGGACCTCAACATCGTGCTCAAGGTGGTGTCCGGCTAGAATCAGGCTTTGAGAAAAGGAGGAAAGGTTTTGCTTTGTTGTTTTCCGGATTCAGCTTTTAAATGCTGGAGTAAAATGATGGTAACCCCGGAATAATCTCGTTTTCCCTTGGGACTCGTTTAGTTCCCGCTTCCCACATCCTCAAGTAGACAGTCTTTCCATGCTGTAGAACTCACCCCAGCAAGGTGGTTTGTTTTTAAGAGACTGAAATGGAAATTTTCATGTTCCTTTTACATCTGCCTTGTGGCAAGGGGGCTGCCTGCTCTCTACCCTGCATGATAGATCTCTATACAAAGAATAATAGTAGATACCTCATTCATGTGTTCTTAACTGTATCAGGCACCAAGTTAAGTATCTTGTGCGCTCTAACATGGAGTAACATATTGCTACTCAATTTTGTGATAGAACTGAACCTCACAGTAAGGCAACAGTGCAATTTCCAAAGTGTGTGCTCGTATTAATGCTTAAAGTATTGGTCATGGATCCTGATGTTATAGAATTAGGAATTCAGGGATAGATACTAGCCAGGTGCTGAGACTTTTTTTTTTCCATGAGACCCCTGTCATTAACATTGACTCACCACGATGGTAAGAAGAATAAGGTAATTTTCAGATTTGGCAACAACCTCTCTTATACTGATTTTGAAAACCACCGGTCTGTCATAACCTTCACATTCACAGGTAAGAAAACTGAGGCCCAGAGAGGTTATGTAGTGATCTAGTGTCAAATGTAGATGTAGAGCCTAGAGTTTTAGGCTTACAGCTTGGTGTTGTTTGTTGAAGGTTATAACCGGTAACAAATAGAGGTTCCCCCATTTGAAGAACATTTGCTTTCAAAATATATTCGTATTAGATGGCTAGATGGCTCAGCAGGTAAAGGTCCTTGTCACAACCTTTTGCCTCTGCATGTGCCTTTATGCATACACACACGTAAATGTAATAAAGAATTTTTAGTTGGGCATTGGTGGCGCACGCCTTTAATCCCAGCACTCGGGAGGCAGAGGCAGGCGGATCTCTGTGAGTTCAAAGCCAGCCTGGTCTACATAGCGAGTTCCAGGACAGGCTCCAAAGCAATACAGAGAAACCCTGTCTCAAAAAACCAAAAAATAAAAAAATAAAAAATGTATTTTAAATACAACTTTACTGTACAGATTATACAAAGAAGCAAGACCAGAAAACACCTGTAATCTCATCGACTAGGTATTTTTCAACACTAGGTGTATGCCTGTGTTTATTTTATTTTTACAAAATGAGATCATACTACACCTTGTTTTTCTGCCCAAGGCTTTGCTGCGACCATTCCTCCATGCCACTAAGGAACAGAGGAAGCTGGGTGAATAGTAGACTGTTTATAAGCTGCTGGCCCCAGACTGACTGCTTACTTTTTTCTTTGACAGGACAATGACTTCTTGCGGAACACAGTGCACAGACATGAGCCACCAGTCACAGCAGAGCCTATTCGCCTTCTAGCTGAGAACGAAGACGTGGTTGTGATAGACAAACCATCCTCCATTCCTGTCCACCCCTGTGGCAGATTCCGACACAACACAGTCATCTTCATCCTAGGCAAGGAGCACCAGCTGAAGGAGCTCCACCCACTGCACCGGCTTGATCGCCTCACCTCAGGGGTGCTCATGTTTGCCAAGACAGCTGCAGGCTCAGAGAAGATTCACGAGCAAGTTCGGGACCGGCAGGTGAGCCGGGCTTTGTCTTCTGGAGACTGCTTCCTGGGCTCCCACACGCTTTGTGTTAGAAAGAGGTCATGAAGTTCTAGATTGTCTAAAGTTCCTACTTTAAAAAGGCTCAGTACCTAAAGGGAAAGACAGACTATCCTGTGTGTCTCAGGTTTTGAGGAGAGCTTGGTTGGCAGGAAGACTAGATAAAGTTGGAAGAGTAAGATCATTGTCTAGTATTTATTATGATCTTGAGACTTGGAATTCTGCATCTGTATCATTATTTACTGAGCACTTGCCAGACTTAATCCCCAACACATTAGAAACAAATTTACTAAATGCTTACAGCAGCTCTGTGAGGTAAATGTTTTCTGATTTTATATTTTTTATTAGATGCATTCATTTTATTTGATATGAGTGTTTTGTCTACATGTGTGTATGTGTCACACATGTGTGCATGGTGCTTACAGAGGTCAGAAGGGGAATTGGAGTTAGGGATGGTTGTGAATAACCATATAGACGCTGGGAACTGAACCCAGGTCCTCTGAGAGAGCAGCACACGATATTAACCGCAGAGCTATCTCTCCAGCCCCTCATCTCATACTTTCTAGATGACGTATGGGAATGTACAGAGTTGAAGTTACCTAGGGTGGTGAATCTGACAAAGCTGGCATTAGGGTTTGAATCATCATCTCTCAGATGCACTGGTGCACTCTGTAGAGGGTTCAGACTCTGAGATTTGGCTTTGGACTGACTTTACCCCTTTTCCTCCTTTGTAGCTGGAGAAGGAGTATGTGTGCCGGGTTGAAGGGGAGTTCCCCGACAAGGAGGTAATTTGCAAGGAACCCATCTTAGTGGTGTCTTACAAAGTAGGAGTGTGCCGTGTGGACCCCAGGGGCAAGCCCTGTGAGACTGTCTTCCAGAGGCTGAGCTACAATGGCCACTCCAGTGTGGTACAGTGCCGACCGCTTACAGGCCGTACTCACCAGATCCGAGTCCACCTGCAGTTCCTGGGCCACCCCATTCTCAATGACCCCATCTACAATTCAGCTGCCTGGGGTCCGTCTCGAGGTCAGGGTGGCCACATTCCAAAGACAGATGAGGAGCTTCTCCGGGACCTGGTTGCAGAGCATCAGGCCAAAGAAAGCCTGAATGTGCTAGATCTCTGTGAGGGTGACCTGGCCCCAGGACTTGGGGATTCTACAGCCCCCTCTTCAGAGTTGGTTAAGGACAGCCTTGGAGAATTGGCTTCAGTAGCCCAGAAGACAGAGGGAATAGCTGAAGCAGCCTCTCAGGATCTGGACACACCAGAGAAAGCAGCTAAAGCAGATGTTGTGAATCAAGAAACAGACCCACTCTGTGCAGAGTGCCGGCTGCTGCGACAGGATCCCCTGCCCCAGGATCTTGTGATGTTCCTGCATGCCCTCCGCTATAAAGGGCCAGACTTTGAGTATGTCTCACCCATGCCAGCCTGGGCACAGGATGACTGGCAGGAAGACTGAGGGATGTGGCCAATGGAGGACTGGCTTCTCAGGTTGGAACAAGGGTGGGCCTTGGGGCAGGGACGGGTCCCATTGGTTGATTCTCAGGGTTTGGAGAAGATGAGGTTTCATTGTAAAGGAACCTGCTCCTGCTACCTCCTTCCTTTTCGCTCTTTTGGGGACTTTCAGGTCTGTAAATATATCATTTTTTTCTAACACATTGTATATCAGTTTTTACTGGCTTTTTTTTACACCTCCTCCCCTCTTCCCCAATGCTTAGGATAGAATCTAGGTCCATTCACAAGGAAGGCAAGTGCTCTACAGCTGAACTCCATTCCTAGACCCTTAGTACTTTTGAGTTTCTCTTTGTAGCTCAGGCTGCTCTTGAACAGTGAATCCTACCTCTGCTACCCAACTGGGAACACAGGCATGAAGCACCATGCCTTGCTTTTAAAAATTGAGATAAAATTCACATAGTATAAAATTAGCCAATTTAAGATATACACTTCTTTATTGGCCTTTACTATGTTCACGAACTTGAGCAACATTATCTCATGATTTCAAACATTTTCTTACCCCTAAAGGAAATCTATACCTGTTAAACACTCATTCCCCTTTCTCTTCTCTCAACTGGTAAATATTAGTCTATTCTTTATGGATTTGTGTGTTCTAGGCATTTCATATAAATGGACTCATAACCTTCGGTGTCTTGTTTTTTAAAGATTTATTTAATGTTCACTGGTGTTTTGCCTGTATCTACTTTGTGTGAGGGTTTTGGATTCCCTGGAACTGGAGTTACAGATAGTTATGTGTTGGTGGGAGTTTCTATCCTGCCAGCAGCTTCCAAAACACTGAGGCTTATATTAATTATAAATGCGTGGCCAATAGCTCAGGCTTATTACTAACTAGCTCTTGCATTTTAAGTTAGCTCATATTCCTTATGCTCTGCTGCATGGTGTTACCTTTATTAGCATGGTACATTCATGTGCTCCCTCTGTCTGACTGGCGACTCCTGACTCCTCCCAGCATTCTCCTAGTCTGGCTCTCCTGCCTTATTCTGTTCAGCTATTGGCCAGTGACACATATTCACACAGTATAAAGAAATACCCCATAGCAGTTGTGAGCTGCATGTGGGTGCTAGAAATTGAACCTCTGGAATTCCTGCCAGTGCTCTTTTTTTTTTTTTTTTGGTTTTTTGAGACAGGGTTTCTCTGTATTGTTTTGGAGGCTGTCCTGGAACTCGTTCTGTAGACCAGGCTGGCCTTGAACTCAAGAGATCCACCTGCCTGTGCCTCCCGAGTGCTGGGATTAAAGGCGTGCGCAACGCCCGGCCCTGCCAGTGCTCTTAACCACTGAGCCATTTCTCCAGCCCCAATCGTCTGTGTATTAGTGTAGCATAATATTTCTAGGATTGAACTAATTTTTTTTTTTTTTGGTTTTACGAGACAGGGTTTTTCTGTATTGTTTTGGAGGCTGTCAGTCCAGCCTGGCCTCGAACTCACAGAGATCCGCCTGCCTTTGCCTCCCGAGTGCTGGGATTAAAGGCGTGCACCACCACCGCCTGGCTAGGATTGAACTAATTTATAGTATGTGTTTCATTCTTTTTTCTTGTGACTGAAGTGTCCCATTGCATGGATATGCCAAATTCTGTGTGTTCATTCATCATTTGTTACTAACAGTGCTGCTGTGAACATCTGTACAATGCAAGATGTATAAGTGCCTGTTTTCAGTCAGTACTCATCGTATTGGTGTGAATGGTAATCATGTTTAACTTTTTGATTAAAGCACAAAACTTTTTAAATATTATTTATTTATTATGTATACAGCATTCTGTCTGCATATATGCCTGCAGGCCAGAAGAGGGTGCCAGATCTCATTACAGATGATTTTGAGCCACCATGAGGTTGCTGGGAATTGAACTCAGGACATCTGGAAGAGCAGCCAGTGTTGTTAACCTCTGAGCCATCTCTCTAGCCCCCAAAACTGTTTTCTATGGCAACTAAACTAGTCTATATTCTTGCCAGCACTGTATAGAGGGTTCCAGTTTCCTCATATTCTTGCCAACACTTTTCTTTTTGTTTGTTGTTTTTTTGTTTTGTTTTGTTTTTGAGAGAGCTTTTCTGTGTATGTAGCCCTGGCTGTCCTGGAACTCACTCAGTAGGCCAGGTTGACCTCAAACTCACAGAGATTCATCTGCCTCTGCCTCCTGGGTGCTGGGATTAAAGGTGAGTGCCACCATTGCCCAGGGAACTTACTGTTTTCTATATGTTCTGTTGATCATATCTCTCTTAGTAAATGTGAATTAACAGCTCATGTGAAATCTAGTCTTTTTGTTGTATTTTTTATTATTATTCTAGACATGAGATCTTTCTCAACAACAAGGGAATTAACAGCCCAATTTAAAAATGTGTGAAAGGGTTCGGGTTAGCACATACACACGCAAGCATCAAAGAAGGGATGTTAACTGCTCTTGGAGTGGCTTACAACCTGAAATTCCACCATCAGAGGATGTGATCCCCTCTCCTGACCTCTGCTAGGGCTGCATAGTGAGACTGTGTCTCAAAACAACAAAGACGGAAGCAGTACAACTTAACGAAACTGACCAGGTTCTAGAATGACATGTTCACTAGAGTCAGGGCTATTACCACCATGGCACTTACTCTGTTCAGAGCCCCTGCCTTCCACAAAGTAAGCAGTATGTGTGATTATGATTGTGTCCTTCCACTCCAAGCCCATTAACTCTCCTTAACTCTCCTCTTTTCATGTGAAGCTTGTTCATGTTTTCAAAGCCGTGTTTTATCAGCCATTAGCCACATCAAAAGAATTGGGTAGGGCTGGAGAGATGGCTCAGAGGTTAAGAGCACTGGCTGCTCTTCCAGAGGTCCTGAGTTCAATTCCCAGCAACCACATGGTGGCTTACAACCATCTGTAATGAGATCTGGCGCCCTCTTCTGGCCTGCAGGCATACATGCAGACAGAATGCTATATACATAATAAATAAATAAATAAATCTTAAAAAAAAAAGACAAGGATTTAAAAAAAAAAGAATTGGGTAATGTCCTTCTATTTTTTAAGCTTCGTGTGTGTGTGTGTGTGTGTGTGTGTGTGTGTGTGTGTGTGTACAAACTGCCATGCACATTTATAAACCTGGAACTTAAGTTCCCAGGCTTAGTGGCAGGCACCTTTACTTCATGAGACATCGTGAGTCATAAGGATCTTAAAAACACTTCAGTAATTTGGCCAGGTAGTGGTGGCTAATACCTCTAATGTCAGCACTTGGAAAGCAGAGTATGGGTGGATTTCAGTGAGTTCGGGGCCACCCTGGTCTACAAAATGAGTTACACAGAGAAACCCTGTCTTGAAAAACAAAAAATACACTTCAGTAATCCAATTAAAATACAAATGATTTGATTAGTCTGTTTTTTTTTTTCTCCTTGCAAACATTCCATCATTTGAGCAGTTCCAGAGAACACCTGAATTCAGTCTTGAGGCATTCTCCTGTAGGATCCACTTCTTCCTAAAGATAAGGAAGAGGCCAAGCTCACTCCTATCCATCTACCACTCAGAACCAATCTTCCCTGGGTATAGTGGAGAACACCTTTGGATTAAAGGATCTCTTTGAGATCTAGTCCAGCCTAGTCTACATATTGAGACCACCCCATCTCAAACAAACAAATAAACAAGAAAACCCAAACACACAAAACTAAGTTTTGCAAGTCTTGAAGACTCTTTCTCTTCTCTCTCTCTTCCCTCTCTTCTTTTTTCCCTCCAACCTTCCTTTCCTTCTCTCTTCACTTTTCTTTTTTCTTTTTGTTTTTTTTTTTCCGAGACATGGTTTCTCTGTATTGTTTTGGAGGCTGGCCTTGAACTCACAGAGATCTGCCTGCCTTTGCCTCCCGAGTGCTGGGATTTAAGGCATGTGCCACCAACGCCCGGCTTTCTCTTCATTTTTTTTTTTGAAGAATCTTGTTATATAGCCCAGGTTAGCCCCCAAATTACTACGTATTCCTGTTGGCCTCATATTCACAATCTTCCTCCTTAGCTTCCCAATTGCTTGAGTCATGGATAACCATTTATAAGTTTGGCTTGCAGATTTTTTTCCCCAAATGCTGGAATTAAACTCATGTTCCACCACTCCAGATTTCTTATGTATAGTAAGACGTAGAATGTAAGCAAGCACACACACACACACACACACACACACACACACACACAAACTATTCATTGAATGTTCTTCCTTCAGAACTAAGTCATGTAAGAGTTGTAGATGTGTAATCACCCAGCATTGTGCAGCTTTGCCAGCTAAACACAATTCTTCCCTGATAACTTCATAGTCAACAGAGGGAATGAGTCCTCCTGAAGCTGGGCCGGGAGGATGAAGACCCATTTCTTGGCACTCAGTGAGCGCTGTTAATGTCTTGATTACGACTTGTGCATCAGTTTTCCCTCATAGTTTTCTAGATCCTGGGGGTTGGAGTGTCCTGTAATAGTTCAGGGTGATGTGAGGAGAAACCTGTGTTGATGGAGAGTGTTCTTTTCAGCAGAGGCCTGCTGATGGGATTTAAAGATAAATTGCAATCATTTTTGTCATCCAAATTTGGAAGTTGCAACTGATCCAGTAGGTGGCGCCTCACACTCTTTTATCACTCCAATTTCTTTTTTATTACTTTTCCCCCTCCCAGGCTTTAAAATAATGTGGCTTTGTTGATTGTTCTCACTCCCTTAGAAAAAAAAAGGAAGCTGGGCCAGGCAGTGGTGGGGCACACCTTTAATCCCAGCACTCAGGAGGCAGAGGCAGGCGGATCTCCGTGAGTTTGTGTCCAGCCTGGTCTACAGAGTGAGTTCCAGGATGGGCTCCAAAGCCATACAGAGAAACCCTGTCTCGAAAAATCAACAAAACAAAACAAAACAAAACAAAAAACACACACACACACACACACAAAACAAAAACAAACAAATCAAAGAAAGAAAGAAGCTGAAGTAACGGTAGTTATGGATCAGGAGATCAGCATTCAAGAGTGAGCCTCCTGAAGCTGGATGAGAGCATCACAGTCACCTTCCAAGCCTCAGAGAGCTTCTGGAGGAAAGGGGAAGAATTTAAGAGCCAGAAGTTAAGGAGGGTGCCTTAAAAAGATTTCTAGGAATGCCATGGCTGCTGCTCTCAGTACAGCTGTGGTTAGCTGTGGTTACCAACACAAGACTGAGTTCATCAACGTTTCAACATGGGTGAGGGAGAGGTTCACAAGGGGCCACCCCTCCCTGAAGGACTATTGACAGTTAATGGTTGCTGGGGGAGGGCATGCCAGTTTCTTCAGTCTAACCACTGAAAAGTTGCCCAGGCTCCAGAAAACAGCCTCTCGCTCATGGCTTACTAGCTGTCCTAATCTCTCATGTGCCACCACACCCAGATCCATTTTTTAAAAATAAATGTACAATGTTACAAAATGTAATGGCAAGTTTAAAAATGACCATAATTTTGAAGTAGTGAATACTGTCTTAGGCTGTTTTCTGCTACTACAACAAAATCTGTGAAACTGGATAATTTAAAAGACTATGAATTTAGCTGGGTGTGGGCATGGCGGCACACTCCTGTAATCCCACTTCTGGGAAGGTTGAGACAGGATGTACAATTAGAAGACAGCCTGAGCTAAAGAGTGAGTTTCAGGCTACCCTCAGCTCTCTAAACAGGGAGGCTGTAGGAAGTGGGTTTGTCTCACAGTTCTGGAAGCTGGAAAATCTGAGAGAATGGTACTCTGCTTCACTGGATCAAATTTCCAGCACAGGAAGTTGACAGACACATTCAAACCATAGAAAATTTAAAGCAGTAACAATGTAATATATAAATGCATGCATTCTGTTGGTGGTAAAGTCACAGGCAAGGTTAATAAAGCTTACTGCTTTATTGAAAAAAAAGTGTTTTCAGTGAGAGATTATGCAAATAAAGACAAAATCCCTCCTCTCTCCCCTTCACACCTGTGCTCCCAATATGCTATTGAATTGTCTGAAAAGCCCCTGAAGAGATGTTCTGTCCTACCAGGACAGAAAATGGACAGGAAGACATAGCTGAAGAGAACTCACAAGGACCGAAAATGTAGGAGCCAGGAGAAAGGCTCCTGCTCCAACTCTCAGATTCTCAGTGCCACAAATCTTGCTGAAGCACTGCCAGGCGGTCGGTTCTTGAACAGTGCTAGGTCTCACTGGGGACTGTGAACCCCATCACCGTGAGAGAGATCCTATATGGTACCATACACAGGATGGTGGTTAAAAGTCATGGCATAAAGAGATTTGGGTTACACTGTCCTGTCTGCAGAGAAGAAACTGTATATATAGCCTTGGACAAGTTAACCTTTCCATGTAAAATAATTTAATAAAATAGAATATAAAAATATCTACATGATCACAGGATTCTTCAGATAACCCAAATAAAATGTATGGTGCTTTTATTTATGTATAAAAAAATAAAGGTTGTTAAACGTGATTTCACAAGAGAGGAAATCTCTGTTCTTTTGTTGCTTCCTAATCCTCTTCCCTGGTTAAATCTAGAAGATTCAGCTTCAAGTCTTCCAGAAAGGCAGTCATGTTCCAGCTCAGTAGTTTCCAGTTCTTACCAAGGTTTCAGATGTCATAGGCATCTTTTTCAATAAATACATTGGGAACCAAACCCGTAACCTGCTTGAGGACTGGACGAGGTAGCGTTTGTAATGCAATGTGATCCTTCCCGATCTGGACATTACAAACCCAAGACAGCCAGACTGGTGCGGTCGCCTTGTAATCCTAGCATTTGGGAAGATGAGGAGGAGGATTTTCAATTTGAGGCCAGCCTGGACTATACGATGAGACTGTGTCTCTAAACATCACTCAGCACGATGGGGAAAGGAACGTCACCCTTTGGAAAGCATCACCGTAAGACGCACACGTTGTGTCACCACCGCTTGGCTCTCTGCCTACCACCTTCAGAAGTCGACCTGTGGCAAATGTGGCTACCCTGCCAAGCTCAAGAGAAAGGGTAACTGGAGCGCCCAAGCTAAGAGACCAAACACTCCCGGACAGGGCGGATGAGGCACCTAAAATTGTCTATCGCAGATTCAGACAAGGATTTCGTGAATGAACCCTAACCCTAACCCAACGAGGTCAGGAGCATCCATTTCATCTTGAGGATTTCAATAAGTCATAAAATAAAGTTCTGGTGTCAAAAAATTAAAAGGCAACAATAACGACCCCCGAATAAGAGCTCTTTAAATAACTGAACTCACAGCTAGGTCACTTCATGTTCCAGACCACCACTGGACACGAGAGCTGTAGTTATATTCGCTGTGCTGCTCTTCGTAAGACATTAAACCCAGTACATTTTCTGAGTCCTAGAAAACTATCAGCTTTTTTCTTCATCCGTGAGGTCATAACGTTTCAAAAGCTGCTTTTCAAATATGTCCTTCCAGTACCAATACCACAAAACAAAACACCTCCATGCTAAGGCTAATGGCGTTAGACAAAAAAGTGAAGAAATTGAAACCCGATGAAATATTTAATTATTCCCCGAATTGTAAATTATGGATCACATTATGCTAATTAGTGGAAATCCCAGAGAAAAAGAAAAAAGTGCGTTCGACGAGGATGGGATTCGAACCCACGCGTGCAGAGCACAATGGATTAGCAGTCCATCGCCTTAACCACTCGGCCACCTCGTCCCAGAAGCTCAGTCCTTCCTGGCACCTATAGGGAGTAGTGCTAGAGGGGTGTGACGCAATGTCATGGAAGTCGCCATTTTGTACGGAAGCCAAGAGTCCGAGTGTCTGTAGGCAATCGAAAGAAGATGGCCGTTCTCAGGATAAGAGATCTGTATTTGAGAGAGGCGAGGAAAATTCTGTAGAAATCGAGAAAAACTGGAGGAAACTTAGGTTAGCGCAGAGGATGATAGAAGAGTTTAGAGAGGTCTTAGGGGAGGGGCCGGTCTGAAGCCTAAGGGGCGGGGTCGTCATGGCGCGCAGCACTGCGCGCCGCGCATGCGCGTCACTCCGGCGGTTAGATTTGAATACTTCGCAGACACTCTCAGGTCCCTGTGAAGTGACGTCTAATTCAGAAGCAGCGCGCGGACCCCAAACAGGCGGCCCGTGGCGGGTAAGAATGCTCCTTTTCGTCCTGGGCTCCTAAGAGAGGCCTTGGGTTCGTGTCTGGGCGCTGTCGGGCCGACGCGGCCTGGTGAGGATCGCTCGGTCAGCCCGGCTGCCTCGGAAGGTCCCTGCCCCTTGGTGAACGCGCGAGCCCCAACGGCCGGCTCCTCCTTCCGCCTGCACCGACCTGGTTCGCTTCCCCTTTCCTAACGCTGCTCCCCCAGCCCCGGAGCCTCCCGTGGGTTCCTAGTGTAGGCCCGGCCCGCTGCCCGCGTCCGCGCTCGTCCCACCCGCCTTTTTTCGGTCAGAGTTCCAGGATCTGTACCACTGCTTCTCATCCGCGATCTCCCTGTGGTGTGTTTCTCACCGAAGCTCCCGGCTGCAGTGATTTGAAGGCAGTGAGTGAATTTTAAATTGTAGTCTCGTCTGAGCACAATAATAGTAGAGTTCCAAGTTGAGTTCCAAGTTTCTGCACGTCCAACATTAATGAAGTCAGTATCAGCGTGGCACAAATTAGATTATAAAACTCCCTTTATTGTCAGGCTCTGGATTTAAGACCCATGGGTGGGAGGACAATATCGCTGACTGGAATTTTAAAATTGTATTAGACGTTGTGATTTCAGTAAGGATGGCCATCATAGCATCATATATTTGGATGTCTAGTCACTGGAGAGTGACTCTATTTGAAAGAAATAGAAGAACTGGGAGGTGTGGCCTTGTTGGAGTTGTGGCATTGGAATGGCTTGGAGGTTTCAAAAGCTCATACCAAACCTAGGCTCTCTGCCGCTGCCATGACTCGCACCGTGATGATAATGGACTATGTAAGTCTCTGAACTATAAGCGAGCCCTCAATTAAATGCTTTCCTTTATAAGAGTTGCTGTGGTCGTGGTGTCTCTTCACAGCAATAGAACAGTACCGAAGACAGAAGTTAACAGAAATAAAGGGTGTGACTAAAAACAGAAGCGACAGTTCATTCTAAACACTAAAGGTTGAAGTTAGTTTTCACTTCAGTTAGATGGTTCAGCTGGGTTCTTCTATGTCTCTTTTTTTAAAAATTATTCATTTATTTTTATTTTATGTGCACTGAAGGTTTGCCTGCGTATATGTCTGTGTGACGATGCTGGATCCCCCAGACCTGGGGTTACAGACAGTTGTGAGCTGCCATGTGGGAGCTGGCAATTGGACCCTGGTTCTCTGAAAGAGCGCCAGTGCTCTTAGCCCCTGAGCCATTTCTGCAACCCTGAGTCTCCTCCACGTCCTTTTTTTGTTTGTTTGTTTGTTTGTTTTTCAAGACAGGGCTTCTCTGTATTGCTTTGGAGCCTGTCCTGAAACTCGATCTGTAGACCAGAGCTGGCTTTGAATTCACAGAAATCCGCCTACCTCTGTCACCCTCTCTCCCCAGTGCTGGGAACAAAGGCATGCACCACCAATGCCACCAACGCCCAGCTAGGTTTCCTTTATGTCTTACAGATAATATTGTGTTAAAACTCTTACTCCTCAATGATACATTATTATAATTGACAGTAATTTATCTAGGTACTATTTTGAATTAGTAGTTCACACAGTGCCTGATTTCAAGAATGGCTGTTTAAAAAACAAATAGTGTCCAAACACTTCTATAAGTATACTCCTAAATGTCAAATGCACAGTTTTGGAACCAGTCTCAATAATCAGTATGAATATAATCAAAAAGCATTTTATAATCAAAGCTTATTGTAATAGTCTAGGGGAGTGGCCTGTTTCTGTTAAAGGTGTAACATATGGGTTATATAATAAAATACACATTTAATAGAATTAGAGACGCCCAGTAAGGTTCCCCCACCTTTGGTTTTTCAAGTTCCAGTAAGTCTGGAATCTCATCAGTTAAATGCTAACTAGTCCACAAGGTAGAAAAGAATGATTCTCAAAGACTTTCAAACAACAGTGTTTAGTTTACCTTAGGGTTAATATTTTCTAGTATTTTTATCTGTTTTGAGTACAGAACTTGAAACTATTCCTATAGAGCAGTGGTTCTCAACCTTCCTAATGCTACAGCCTTTAATACAGTTCTTCATGTTGTGGTGACCCCCAGCCATAAAACTATTTTTGTTACAGCTGGGCAAGTTGGCACAACACCTTTAATTCCAGCACTCAGGAGGCAGAGGTGGGTTTGAGGCCTGCCTGGACTTTAGCACTAGTTCTAGGACAGCTAGGGTTACACAGGGAAACCCTGTCTTAAAAACCCAAACTATTTTTTTTTCATTGCTACTTCATAACTGTAATTTTGCTAGTAATGTAAAAAAAATCATAATGTAAATTGTAAAACAAGTCAGATACATGCCATCCCTGTGAAAGGGCCATTTGACCCCCAAAGGGGTCACGACCTACAGTTTTAGAACCACTGCTGCTATGAAAGAGAAGATGTACTAGTTAGTAGTCAATGTGTACTTGTGAAGGGCACTCATTCAGCAATAGTTATTAAGCTAGACTACAACAGCAAACTGCAGACACACCACCCTATTTTCATAATTTTCTGCTGTGGCAAAGGTAAGTTTGGGAGTTGATAGAAACAGTTAATTTATATTATAGAATTTTAAATTACTGTCATATTCAGAGAAGATATGCATAGTGCTACCAAGAAAACTATCTTTTTTCCAAGAGAGAATAGCACTTCTAAATACACTAATTTGGGAAAGATCTCTGCATAGAAACAGCTATTGTGACTACCAAAATCGAGAAGTAGTAAGGGATAATGAAGTCTTGGGGCAAGGTCCCAGTGAAGAATGTCAGTACAATAGCAAGCAATTGAAATATTTTAAGTAGGAAATTGCTTTTAAATACATTTATGAGCTGAAGAGATGGTTCAGTAGTTAAGACCTCTGGATTCAATTTCTGGTATTTACATGACAGCTCAAAATCACCCATAATTCTAGTTCTGGGGGATTCAGGTTATATACAATTTATTTATATTTTATGTGCATTGGTGTTTTGCCTGCACACATGTCAGTGTGAGGGTGTCATGTCTGTGTGAGGGTGTCGAATCCCCTGGGACTGGAGTTATAGACAGTTGTGAGCTGCCATGTGATTGTTGGGAACTGAACCCAGGTTCTTTGGAAGAATAGCAGTGCTCTTAACTACAGAACCATCTCTCCAGCCCCTGGATTCAGTTTTCTTATCTGACCTCCACAGACATTAGACACAAAGGTGGTGCACAGATATACATGCAAACAAAACACTCAAATACATATATGTATATATAATAAAAGTCATATATATATATTTTAAAGCAGCCAAGGCAGTTGTGTTGGTCCTTGCCTTTACCTAAGCACTCAGGAAGCAGAGGCAGAGGCAGAAAGAAACCCATGAGGTTCAGGCCAGCATGGTCCTTATAGTGATGAGTTCCAGGCCAGGTAGGATTACAGCAAGACTATTTTAAAAACCAAAAATAGTCTTTAATCTCAGCACTAGAGAGGCAGAGGGAGGTGGATCTCTGTGACTTAGAGGCCAGCCTGGTCTACAGAGCGAGTTCCAGGACAGCCAAGGCTGCGCAGAGAAACCCTGTTTCAGGAAACAAAAAACAAAACAAAACAAAAAAACAAACCAAAAGCAAATAAACAACAAAACTCAAACCCACATACTTATTTCAGATTTAAATTCAGACTTATTGTGAATCACTGTCCCCTACATCTAACATTTGGCTTTTATTATATATGAAAAAAATTGTGTGAAATAAGGTACTATTATTATTATTATTTGTTTTTTGGTTTTTCGAGACAGGGTTTCTCTGTGTAGCTTTGGAGGCTGTCCTTGAACTCGCTCTGTAGACCAGACTGGCCTCAAACTCACAGAGATCCGCCTGCCTCTGCCTCCCATGTGCTGGGATTAAAGGCGTGCGCCACCAACGCCCGGCAAGGTATTATCTTTTAGGTATCTATTTTTCCTTATTATTGAAAGTAAGAATATGTACTGCTAATAGTTCATGTATATGGTATTCATTTAATGTTATAGTAGAAATGCTAGTACTAGTATCAAATTTTGTAGCTATTATTTTTAAACCTGAGATGATATCTTTCCTTATCTGGAAGTAAGGTTCTAGTTAACGCATTCAGTGTATTGTGTATCCATCACACACCCCACACATGTGGAGGTCAGAGGCTAACTTAATGGGAATCAGTTCTGGTCCTTTCCTTCTATCATATATCTTACAGGGATTGATCTCAGGTAGTCAAGTTGGTGACAAGTGCCTTTACATGTGGAGCTGCCTCAGTGGCCCCTAACTTTCTATTTCACATTCTTCCCAGGGTAACTACTCATTGAGTAGAATTCCAATTTTAATAGTCAAGTACAGTATGTAAAATGTTAACATTGCTGGGAGTAGTGGTGCTTTCCTGTAATCAAGGTTACTTGGTAGATGGAGACAGGTTCAAAAGTTCAAGACCACCAGGCAAGTTAGAGAACATGAGTTGTGTTGCCACCTTTTTTTCAAGAAAAACTGACCATCTAATTATTGTATGAAATCTTGAGATTTTTGTAATTTGGGCAATCAAGTAAAAAATTAAGTATCATGTATATGTTAAAAATTATGTGTGGTTGGCACATGCCTTTAATCCTAGTACTTACAACAATTCCCCTTGCCTCTATCTCCTGAGTGCTGGGATCACAGGATACCTAGCATAATTTAATTTTTTAAGGATGAATTCACTATTTTAGGTATTCATTCGACTTCCACTTAGGATTGAATTATTATGCAATTCAAGTATTATATATTATTTATTATGCAAAATAGACCATATTTTTATTGGAAAGTTCGTATCATCATGCTCATAGTTTACAGATTTTATCTTGTGTGTTTTTTTGTTTGTTTGTTTGTTTTGTTTTGGTGGGAAGTGAAGAGGGAAGAGGAATGGCTTCTAGACATATAGCCCAGGCCGGCTTGGAACTTGATATGTAACTGAGACTAACTCTGAACTCTTGATCCTCCCGCCTTCACCTCCCAAGTGCTAGGATTATAGGGATGACTATAAATCTGGCTTAGGTTATACCTTGAGTATGAAAAATTTCCAGTATTAAGTATAATATGGGGGCCTGGGGCGATGGCTCAGTGGGTAAAGCATTTACTCTGCATGCATGAGGACCTAATCCCCAGCACCCACATAAAGTTGTGTGTGCCAATAGCCCAGCACTGGGGAATAGAGATCCTGGAGCCCTATGACCATCCATCCTAGCCAAACAGTGAGCTTCTGGTTCAGTGCAGCCTTGTCCAGCTAAGATGGAGAGAGACAGAGGAAGACACCTGTCAGCCTCTTTTGTATTATACACATACACACCATAGATATGCAACCACACACACATGCAAGCATGCACACATGGAAAGAATGAATAAACAAAGGGTGTATGTGGCAACTACTCCTGGAATATCAGCACTGGACTATAATTCTAGGTCAACTTGAACAACAGCTTGAACCTAAAAAGAACCTCCCAGAAAGTCATGCTGGGAAACCATAGCTACCAAATGCAAAGTGGAGGCAAAGTCCCTGCTTTTCTGTGCCACAGACACAAAGCAAAAAAAAAGGAGATGGGGGTGTGTGTGTATAACATGGAACTTAAACTGTCCTAAATCTCTCATGGTTTAGAACTCACAATGTGGTTTTTGCTTCTTTTTTTTTTTTTTTTTTTTGGTTTTTCGAGACAGGGTTTCTCTGTGGCTTATGGAGGCTGTCCTGGCACTCACTTTGTAGACCAGGCTGGCCTCGAACTCGTGGTTTTTGCTTCTTATTTGTGGCCTTTACTATAAAGTCTCATGGATGCACCCAATCTCCCATAGATTATAATTTTTCTCATCTTTCTTACTTGTTTTTTTTTTTTTTTTTTCCGAGACGGTTTCTCTGTGGCTTTGGAGGCTGTCCTGGAACTCGCATGGTAGACCAGGCTGGTCTTGAACTCACAGAGATCCGCCTGCCTCTGCCTCCCGAGTGCTGGGATTAAAGGTGTGCGCCACTAACGCCCGGCTCATCTTTCTTACTTGTTAACACTATGTATTTTTTACAGAAAAATCGTTTTCAGAAATGGATGGAATGTCTTCAGAAGCTAATGAAGAGAAGTAAGTTCATTCAGTACTGCTAAAATGTTCTCTATTAAAGAAAGATTCTTTTCAAACTAGTTAAGAATTATCAGTGATGTTTGAAATAGTTTTCTATTTTGTTTCAAGTAAAAGAAAGTGCCATATCTTTGTAAAAGTTCACTAGAGTAATAACTGAGGACTAGAAGGACTTTCATTGATACCGCCTTTCATCTCATTAAGGCCTTAGGAAATCAGAGATCCATCTGCCTTTGCCTCCAAGTGCTGGGATTAAAGGTGTGCACCACCACTACCCAGCAACACTGAAGTCTTATACTGTAGCACATAACGTATGAAGTGATGATAACTTTTAGAAATTCAGTTGTTAATCTACATATATATAATTTTTCCTTTTTTTTTAGTGACAATATACAGAAGCCTGTTAGAAGACGTCATTCCTCAGTAAGAAATATTTTTATTTAAATTAATAGCTGTTACTTTTTAATGAATATAACTATAGTAATTTTGATTGTGGCTTTACCTTAGCATCCCAACCAGCTTCTTATTTCTTTCTGGATAAAGACTCAAATAGTTTGGTTATACAATCCAGTAAATATGCTAAAGTTCATTTTTTTGCACTTTAAAATATTTTAATAAACTTTTACTAGCATATTTCTACATCATATTTTCAAATGTGTTTATTTAATAAATTTTATTCCATATAAATTATATTTCATTATTATAAATGCTCAAAATGTATTTTTCCCTCCAAAAATATATATTTAATCTGACATTGGAACTATTGTAAGCCATAAGTTCACCCAAGTTGATCTATATGTTTAATTCATGTTATATTATGAAACTAAAAAGGTGCAACAGTTTAGGGTGCCTATATACAAAACTTACCCATAAGAAATTCTAGCATAACCCTGCTAGATTTTTCTCTTTTCTTCTATTTTGACTGATTTTGGGTAGTTTTTGCTAGCAGGTATAATTTATATGATTATCTCTTGATTGCTGTGATATATCTAGCTCTTCTTATTTTTATGTTTAAGTTCTATGTGAAGAGTTTTGTGTATTTCTTTAAGATAGGAAAACAAGACTTAGAACTGAATTGTGTTAGTGTGATTATCCTATTTGGGCATACCCTCATTCCTGAATGGAACATTTTGAACAAAGAAATTTCAGACTGTTAGATGGTCTCAGTACCCTTGAGTTAAAGTGTGGAGATTTACCTAGACCACTGGAGATGATTTTGTGCAAAAGAATTTGGAAGAGTCGGTCAGGAGAAGGCATATTAATATTAAGTCAGCCACATAACACTGAACAGTATGACTTAGAGGAATTTCAGGGATTTTAGTGGAAATTTTATCTTTCTACTCATATAACTTAAATTGACTAGGAGCTACATTAGATTTTCTTGATTAATTCTAATTATTGCCTCTAGATTTTGAAACCCCCAAGGAGTCCTCTTCAGGACCTCAAATGTGGAAATGAAACAGTTCAGGTAAGTCTCTAATATATATGCTTTACAATTCCAGTGGTTTTGTTGAGGCACTTGGTTTGTTGAGATTAGGTTTCACTTATCTAGCCCAGAGTGACCCTGAACTTGTGGCAATTCTCCTGCTTGAGCTTCCCAAGCGCTAGGATTAAAGACATATATCATCATGTCTGGCTTCAGTGATCATCATGAATTTTATTAGCTACATGAAAAGATGATACCATAAATGATTCCCATTTAAATGTGAGCTAAACAGTGAAACCCTGTCTCAAAAAACAAAAAATCAACCAACCAACCAAACAAATGAAAAAATCCAAATTCTTGAATATACTGGGGTTTATTAATTTTAATTTTATTCTTTTGGTTTTTTGAGACAGGGTTTTGCGGCACCCACGCCACAAACAACTCCGAGGTATCAGGAAAAGAAAGACCAGATATCCACTTGTTTGTACTAAGAGAATGCGTGTGCTGCCTTTATTGCCAGGAAAGAAAGAGAGAGAGAGGGAGAGGGAGAGGGAGAGGGAGAGGAGAGGAGACAGAGAGGAGACAGAGAGACAGAGACAGACAGACAGAGATATTACCTGGTCACAGCAACATTATTCATAGTAGTCAAGAAGTAGGGAAAAATCTAAGTGTACATCCATTTTGTCTAAATAAACAAAATATGCTAATTATATACAATGAAATTCGGTATTAAAGGTCTGACATATACTTCAACATGAAAGAATCTTGAAGAGGCCTGGTGGTGGTGGTGCACGCCTTTAATCCCAGCACTTGGGAGGCAGAGGCAAGCTGAACTCTGTAAGTTCGAGACCAGCCTGGTCTACAAGAGCTGGTTCCAGGACAGCGTCCCAAGCCACAGAGAAACCCTGTCTCGAAAAATCAAAAAAAACAAAAACAATAAACAAAAAAAGAATCTTGAAGAGCTAAATAAAAAAAAGAAACAAAATTCAAAAAGACAAATTCTACTTGTTATCACTTATTATGAAATTTAATCAAATTGACATAAACCAAATAGAACACTGGTTGCCAAGGATTTGGAGGGAGGCTCTAAATGTGTATGTTTTGTTTGTTTGTTTGTTTGTTTGTTTGTTTTAATTTTGCATGTGTGTGTCTTATGTACTCTTGACTTTAACCAAAAAGCCCAAAAGCAATAATAATATGTGAAAATGACACTTAGGCTAGGAGTGGTGGTGCACCCCTTTAATTCTGGTGGTCAGAAAGCTGACAAAAGGATCATGACTTTGAGATCAACATGGATTATATATTGAGACGAACAAATCAACAACAAAAGAAGATCAGATTTACATGAGGCCACAGGGTCAATCCTTAGAACTACCCTCCCCCAGAGAAGTACATGGAAAATCATATTTATGTTCATTAAGTGCTTCTACATTGGGTTGTTTGGAGGAATTCTATATCATTAATAATATTTGATCACAGTAATTTTTATTGTGTCCTATATTCTTTTCTCTTAGGAATCTAATGCTCCAAAAACTAGAAAAAGCTCTCGTCGGGTCAGCTTTGCAGATACTATAAAGTAAGTTGAAAGGATAATTATGTAAAATGTTATAGGTAATGCTTTTCTTTGTGCCAAATATTTTGGTGGTAATTTGTTTGGGTAATCTTTTTTGCCTAAATAAACATGTAAGAATAGTTATTGATTGTGTGTGTGCGTGTACATGTGTGTGTGCGCGTGCAGGCATAAGGGGAAGCTGAAGGTCATTTCAGGTATCTTCCTTTTCACTTTACTTTTTGAGACAGTCTCTCTCTCTCTCTGTCTGTCTCTCTCGCTCTCTCTCTTTTCCCTCCCTTCCCCCCCCCCCCTCTCTGAACACAGAACTCTGACTCAACTAGACTGGCTAACTAATGAGTCCCAGGGATCCTCCTCTCTTTACCTTGCCAGCTGTGGGAGATTTATTATTGTATACTAGGAGTCCAAACTCAGGTTAGTGTGTGCACATATTATGTGTATGTGTGAGTGCAAATAATGCTTGCCCTGGCATGTGTATAGAGGTCAGGGGATAACTTTTGGCATTTCAGTTTTCTCCTACTGTGAGTTCTGGGAATTGAACTAAGGTTGTTAGCTTGTGTATCGAGTACTTTTATCTACTGAAACATCTTGCTACACACTTTTTTTTAAAAATGTGTTTACGGGGTTGGAGAGATGGCTCAACAGTTAAGGGCACTCGCTGTTCTTCTAAAGGACCTGGGTTTAATTCCTAGCACTCACATGGCAGCTCACAACTGGCTATAACTCCAGTTCCAAGGAATTGAGCTATCTCTTCTTGTGTTTGTGGGTATGGCATGCATGTGGTGCATAAACACACGTACACATAAAATATTAAAATGTATTTCTTGTTATTAGTAGTGGTGTTGTGTATACAATGATGTGAGTGAATGTGTGGCTACAATTTTCTTTTTCTCTATGTAATCCTTAATGTCCTGGAACTCACTCTGTAGACCACATGTCCAAAATTGTTATTTTAAAGGGTGTTGCTCAGCATTATCTTTATGAGAAAAGCAGAATAATTCCTTAAAAGCAATAGCAAAGCAATGATAACTATTATTACTGCTGCTAGTTAACATTGTAGTAGAGGTTCTTGCCAATGACAGTAGAAGAAGAAACAGACTTTTAAAAATTAGAAATATTGGAGCTGGAGAGATGTCTCAGCAGTTAAGAGCACTCACTGCTCTTATATAGGACCCTGGGTTCAATTCCCAGCACCCACATGACAGATCACTTCTGTCTGCAACTCCAGTTCCAGAGGATCCACATCCTCACACAGACATATGTGCAGGCAAAACACCAATGCACACAAAAAGAAAAATAAAAATTTTTTTGGTTTTTTGAGATAGGATTTCTCTGTATTGTTTTGGGCAGTTCTGGGACTTACTCTGTAGACCAGGCTGGTCTCAAACTTACAGAGATCCGCCTGCCTATGCCTCCCGAGTGCTGGGATTAAAGGCATGCGCCACCAATGCCTGGCAAGAAAAATAAATTTAAAAAATTTTTTTAAATTGGAAATATCAAGGCTGGAGTGATAGCTCCACAGTTAAGAGCTTCGCTGTCCTTCTAGAAGATTCAGATCCCATGTCCAGCCCTGCTCACATACCTGCTCATAGTTGTCTATAGCTCCAGTTCTAGGAGAACTGATGTCCTCTTTTTGTCTCCATGAGTACCAGGCACATATGTGATACCTGAACATACCTGCAGGCAAAACACAGACCATAAAGAAAAAGCTTAAAAATTAGAAATATGGGATAAGCTTAATGCCTGTGCAGATTAATTGTACTGTTTCCCAGTTATGTCTTAATTGTGTGGTTTTCTTTTTTTCTTCTGTTTCATAAGTTTCATTTTTGCTATCTTAACCCTTTTTTTGTTTCTAGCATATTTTCTTTTGTATTCTTTCATAGAAGTAATTGCTTTATGTTTTGAAATCATAACAAACTATATATACAACTTACAACTGCTTTGGTGCATAGTTCTGGGTATTATTTTTTCTTCTTCTTTTTTTCTTTTTTTGGTTTTCAAAATAGGGTTTCTCTGTGTAGCCTTGGAGCCTGTCTCTGGAAATCCCTCTGAAGTCCAGGCTGGTCATGTACTCACGAAGATCCTCCTGCCACTGTCTCCAGAGTGACAGGATTAAAGGATTAAATATTGGGAATATTGATCTTTTTGTTAATGAATTATGTTTCTTTTAAATCTTATGGTTCCTTTTGTGGAACTGTGGTTTTGCTTTTTTGTTGTTGTTTTGTAGGTGGGTTGTGTAGACTGGGCTGGTCTTGAACTCCTGTACTCCACCTTTTTCTTTTTCTTTTTTTTTTTTTTTTTTTTTTTTGAGACTGGGTTTTGTGTAGTCCTGGCTGTCCTGGGACTCATTCTGTAGACCACAGAGATCTGCCTGCCTCTGACTTTGAGTATTGGGATCAAAGACATGTGCCATCTTGCTATAATTCTACCTTTTGAGTGTAAGATACCAGACATAACTCTAGATTCTGTTTTTTATTCATCATTGAATGGATTGAAATGTTCTAAATCCAGCTATTTGTTAGAAAATCCTGTGGAGTAGAGGTTATTTTAGGATAACACTTTTATGTAAATGCTAAATTCTTTTTTTGTTGTTGTTGTTTTTGTTTTTATTTTTCGAGACAGGGTTTCTCTGTGGCTTGGGAGGCTGTCCTGGAAACTAGCTCTTGTAGACCAGGCTGGTCTCGAACTCACAGAGATCCGTCTGCCTCTGCCTCCCAAGTGCTGGAATTAAAGGCGCTAGCCACCAATGCCCACCGTAAATGCTGAATTCTTAAAATTTTATTTTCTGTTTACCTTAGACTGCCTCATATTAACCTTTTGTGAGGTAACTAGAGTAATCTAAACATTTATGGATGAGGCCATATTGCTTCATGTTTATAAACCTTAGCAGAGTTCTGGGGTTTGAGCTGCGTTCTTTCTCATCCCTCATTTATATTTCTCCAAACTTTTTAAAGTCTGTACTTTTTTGTTGTTATTGGTGGTTTTTTTGTTTGTTTTGTTTTGTCTTTTAAGACAGAGTCAGCAGTGGTGCATGCCTTTAATACCAGCACTTGGAAGGCGGAGGCAGGCGGAAATCTATGAGTTCGAGGCCAGTCTGGTGTATAGAGTTAGTTCCAGGATAGCCATGGTTACACAGAGAAACCCTGTCTAAAAAAACATAAACAAAGCAAAAAGATAGAGTCTCACCACATTGCCATGGTTTATTTTGAACTTACTTTATATCCTTAGCAGACCTGGAGTACCTGGGATCTACATGACCTTCCCATGGGTGCTATGGCATATGCTTACTAACATTTGTGCATGTGCATACATTACATACTCACATAAAATAAGTAAATGTAAGAAACATTTAAATATATCATTTGATTTATTATCAATTGCCACTATTAAGCCAGGTATGGTGGCATATATCTATAATTGCAGCCCTCAGGAGTTGGAAGCCAGGGTCACTCCAAGTTGAAGGCTAGTCTTGTCTGCATAGTGAGTTCAAAGGCTACAGTCTCAAGGCTCTGTCTCAAAAAAACAATAAATAAAGTCACTAGTAACATTTGTAGTGTGACAGATACTATGTTAATTATATGCATAGTTTTATTGGACATGTAACATAAATTACCTAGATAAAAAATGGAGATTCTTGGACTAAAGTTGTGTACCACCAACGTCTGGCAAGATTATTTATATATTTTTAAAAATATTATTTATATTACATTTAATCCCAGCCTCCAGGAGGCAGAGGCAGGTGAATCTCGGTGAGTTCAAGACCAGCCTGGTCTACAAAGTGAGTTCCAGGACAGCCAGAGCTGTTACACAGAGAAGTCCTGTCTCAAAAAAAAAAAAAAATGATTATTTATGTTGAGTGTGTTGTGCAGGTCTGTAGTTCCAGTACTGGGGAGGTGGAGACAAGAGGATCATGAGTTCGAAGCTAGCCTAAGACTTTGTCTTCAAGAAAAGTGAAGTAAAACTAATATTTGTTCTGTGTAACAGAGTACTATAATGGGAACATGCAAACCAAAGTAAAGCAAGTAGGTTTTCAAGGATGTTGAGGCAAGGAGAAAAAATTTATTAGTAAAAATGGAGAAATACTTGGCACACAGAGTAGAAAGATTTACTTGAGACTAAAGTTTAAGATTAATATAGACAACTAAGCAAGATCTCATTTCAAAATGACAAAAACTAAACCCCCACAAGTTTTGAAAATGCGGGTAGAGTCGGGCGTTGGTGGCGCACGCCTTTAATCCCAGCACTTGGGAGGCAGAGGCAGGTGGATATCTGTGAGTTCGAGGCCAGCCTGGTCTACAAAGCAAGTTACAGGACAGCCTCCAAGACAATACAGAGAAACCCTGTCTCGAAAAACCAAAAAAAAAAAAAAAAAAAAAAAAAAAAAGAAAGAAAGAAAGAAAGAAAATGAGAGTAGAGTTGGGTAGGCAGTGAGAAATTCATAAAAGGCTACTTAGATGCAAACTTCAGGAGGTATCAGTTCCTTGGTAGAGGTACTATATTGCTGGCTAAGTGCTATTGGAAGTATCATTTTTTGGGGGGAGGGGGAGGCTTTTGAGATAAGGTTTCTCTGTATAGCTTTGTGGGTCAGGCTGGCCTCAAACTCACAGAGGTCTGCCTGCCTCTGCCTCTGCCTCCTAAGTGCTGGGACTAAAGGTATGCAACACCACCGCCCAGCTGGAGTATCATTTAAATTAAGAGTTTGAACAGCTGCATTCTAGAGTTTGTTTTGGTTTATGGATTGAGGGAATACAGAATGTCATGGTTGCTGGAACCTGAGGTAGCTGCTCCTCCAGAAGTCTGAAGAGGGTTCTGGACACCTACCCCCTCCTCTCCCCCCCCCCAGTCTGTAGTACATTACTGCTTGTAAAATTGTAGTTTATTTCTACATCTATCTATTTGCTAGCCATATGCCTTTAAAAAATGTTTTTTTGGAGACAGGATATCACCTTGTAATTCGACTCTCCCGGAACTCATTATGTAGACCAGGCTGGCCTTAAACTAATGGAGATCTACCTGCTTCAGAACCACCCCTACCAACTCTAGGATTAAAGGTGTGCTTAGCTACATATGGCCAGTAGGAGGCAGAGGGAGGTCAATTGCTTTGTGTCCAAGGCTAACCTGCTTTTGTTTTTGTTTTCTGTTTTTTGAGACAGTGTTTCTCTGTTTAGTTCTATCTATCTTAGAACTCTGTAGACCAACTTGGCTTGGAACTCCTTAGTGCTGGGGTTAAAGGTGTTTGCCACCTTGACCAGAATCAGCCTGTTCTATATAGGGAGTTACAGGCTAGGCTAGTCAGAGCTACATAGTGAAAGCCCACCTCAAAAATAAAGAAATAAAGAAATAAAACAGTTCTTTGGCATACATACATAGAATTTTACCATTTTTAAAGTGAAAAGCAAATTTGCACACTAACAAAAAGAACTTCACAAGTCAATAATAATAAAACTATAGTAATATTTTTTTACAAAAAGAAGTTTCTCAGTTTTCTTTACTTTTTCTCTTCTAGAGTATTCCAGACAGAGTCTCTTATGAAAACAGAGAGAAATGCAGAATTTGCAGGTAAATATATAATTGCAGACCCTGGCAATCTGTTTTATTTACAGTCTTTCTTTGGGTACATACTCATAACTTCTCATCTATCTTTGTGCATTCACTTGAGTAGGGGTGTGTGTGTGTGTGTGTGTGTGAGAGAGAGAGAGAGAGAGAGAGAGGAGAGAAATGCATGCATCATAAAACATGTGTCAAGAGACAGTTGAGATTCTGTTCTCTTTCTACCACGTGGTCTCCTGGGATTGAATTTGGCTCCTACTTGACAGCAAATGCCTTTGCCTGCTGAGTCATTTTGCCAGCCCTATCTTACTATTTAAATAATGTATCCTAAGGGATATGGAAGTAGCTTTGTTGGTAAGATGATTGCCATAGCTGCATGAGGACCCGCGTTTGGATCTCTAGTACCCACTTAAAAGCCAGGTAGGTATAGGTGGTGTGGGAGTCCATGTCTTGTATTAGTTACTTTTCTATTTTTGTGATAAAGCACCATGACCAAGGCAGTTTATAGAAGAAATAGTTTATTTGGGGTTAGGTTCCAAAGGGATAAGAGTCTATTGTGGCAGGAAAGTGACCAGGCATGGTATTGGGACTAGTGAGCTGAGAGTTTGCATCTTGAACTTTGAACATGAAGTAGAGATCAAACTGATAGTACATGAGCCTTTTTTACTTAGGAAAGCCTGCCACTAGAGACATACTTCCTCTAGCAGGCCACATTTCTAAACCTATCAAACATTGCCAGCAACTGGGGATCAATTACTCAAATGCCCAAGAATATGGAGAACATCTATCATTCAAAATATAATCTGCCTTTAATTTCAGCACTGAGGAGGCTAAGACAGGAGGATCCCTGAAACTCAGTGGCAAACTGCTGACCTAATCAGTAAGCTTCAGGTTAAGTGAAAGATATTGTTTCGAAAAATAAAGTGGAAAATGACAGAGGATGTCATATAGCATTGACCTCTGGCTTACCATACATGCCCATATATGTATACATGAATATATATATACACACACTCACAAAGTATATTCTTAGCCAAATGTGGGGACCCACACCTATAATCCCAGCATTCCTAGGACTGATGCAGAAGGATAATAAGTTCAACTCCAGCTTGAGCTATATAGCAAGTTCACCCCTCAGCAAAAAAAAAAAGAGGGAAAAAAGGAAATGAAGTATACCTTTAGTCATGGAGACAGAAAGGTTAAATAGTAATATAGGATGTCCTTCTTTATACTGTGAATAGTGTGCTTTTATTGGTTGATGAATAAAGCTCTTTTGGCCAATGACCAGGAAGCATAGAGCTAGACGGAAAATCCAAACAGTTACTAGAGAGAAAGAAGGTGGGGTCGGAGAGATCCATGTAGTCACTGGGGAAGCAAGTTGTAAGGTAGCAAGCCATGAGCTTCATGGTAAAATATAGAATAATAGAAATGTATTAATTTAATTGTGAGAGCTAGTCAGTAATATGTCTGAGCCATTGCCAAACAATTATAATTAATATTAAGCCTCAGAATGATTATTTAATAAGTGACTGCAGGGACTGGGGGGTGGGAGAAAAATGAGTCCAGCGGGACTGGATGAGACAGGGAAAAGCTTCCAACTACAAGTGTTCTTTTTTAAATTTTGCTGTTAACATCCTTATATAACTTTTCTTATATTTGATCAAGCATCTTTGCACAACTTTATTTTATTTCATTTTTAGAGACAGAGGCAAGAAAAAATGTGCAGACTCTACAGTAAGTAAGGGGCATGCACTCATTATGTTTAAATGGTTGTTTATTCCTAAGAAATGAAAAATATTTAAATATTTTTATTTTAGCATCCCTTCTGTCAAACACTTTTCATCAATTCAAAATACAAACTAGAATTTAGTATATGTACTGCTATATCTGAAAAATAAGTGTACACTATAACTACAGTTTTAGTAGTGATGATAAACTCCATTTTTATTTTCATATATAAATTCGTAAGTTTATCACCTAGTATAACTTATATGTGGGAATTTATTTCACCAATCTACTTGTAATGTTTTAAATGATGACTACCAAAGCTTTTATTATAATAGCAAAAGATATGTGAAAGATTTTTAAGATGGCGTAGGTGTAAAGGTCCTTTATAATGGAATAAAGGAACTGATTAGATTATACCTTTCCATGTAATTGCTCAGCTAGAACAATATGTACATATGTGTTTATATTTACTTGTGTGTGAATATATTTATACATACATTTCTGTTAACTTGTATGTATAATACACCTTGACGTATCTCTGAAAATAACTTTGTTTAAATGTGAACAAAGAAGAGAGCCTTCATAGAAGATACATATTTGTATCAGATCCCCTGTAACTGGTATAGAAAGTTGTAGGCTGCCATGTGGGTACTGGGAATTGAACTCAGGACCTCTGGAAGGTTACTAAACTGTCTTTCTACCCCAACTATTGAGATTCTAAAATTAAAATTGTTTGAAGTGAATCAAATTAATAGTAGCCATGGTTTTGAAATAGTGAAGAACTGTAACATGAATAATAAAAACCCAGCGACAGATATTGAGGTTAAAGGTGAAGATCAGTAAAGCAAAACAGCCAAGCCACTAGAGAGTTCTTACCTCTACCAAATCTCAGACCAAACAGGGGTGATCCTGTCCTCAGTGTGAGTACAGACTGATTGACTCCTGTCCCCTCCCACCTTATATTCCTCTCTAGTGTTGGGATTAAAGGTATGCATCACCACTACCACCACCTGGCCTCTATGGCTAACTATTAATGTCTGTTAGGATTAGAGGTGTGTGCCACCACTGCCTGGCCTCTGTGGCTGACTAGTGTGACTAGCTTTGCACTCTGATCTTCAGGCTAGCTTTATTTGATAAACAAAATATCACCTCATCTTGCCTTGACTGCTGATAGTATGCTGTCCAAATTGGACAAGCAGGTCACAAAAGAGAGTGACTGCTGAACCTTGCCAAGAAAAGGCAGGACGATCCTTCAGAAATCCTGCTTCATAGAAAAGTCTGTCGAATATTTTAGGCATATAGGCTGAAGATGGATGCCCCAATGTTGTAGAAGAACCTTGGGTGACTGTCCAGGCTTTAGCTGTTTTTGTCATTTCTCACATTTTTTTGGAAGTTGCCTGCTCGTACTTCCTGCTTACTCAGTTAATATTATTTCCTTCTCTGGTCTCTGAGGAAGTTGAAGACTAGATAGTTATAGTTTTCCTTGTTTACCAGACTCAGAAAAGAAACTCACTAAAAAGGTATAAAGGGTATAAGGTTGAGAGTATCAAAAGATAGTTTTGGATGGTAATACAAGTTATAATAGAAAGTAAATTATGTACAAGATTTTGAACTCACAAGGAGCATAGATAATGGGGTATTTTCTCTGAATTTGTCAAATGCAAACGGACTAGACATTGTTGATGTACTTGCTACCTGTATATATTGTATATAGGTATTGTACTTATTTTTTTTATTTTTGGTTTTTCGAGACAGGGCTTTTTTGTATTGCTTTGGAGCCTGTCCTGGAACTTGCTCTGTAGACTAGGCTGGCCTCTGCTTCCTGAGTAGTGGGATTGAAGGCATGCGCCACCAATGCCCAATTGTTATTGTACTTATTATATATAGTTCTTCCTGTATTAGTTATAGCCTTTTTATTTTAGACAAGAAAGGGAGAATATAGTGATATTTTGTTTGTAATCAAACAAACAAAGCTTGTCTGAAGATCAGAGTGCAGAGCTAAGCCACTAGTTAGCCACAGAAGACAGGCAGTAGTTATACCTTTAATCCCAGCACTTGGGAGACAGGCAGATGAATCTCTGTGAGTTCAAGGCCACCCTGGGCTGCATGAGAGTGAATCAGTCTAACAGAAACAGAGCTCACACCTTTGATCCTAGCACTTGGGATGACATGCCTTTAATCCCAGTATTAAAGAGGAATATAAGGCAGGAATTTAGTGTAGATTCAGTGCAGTCTGAAGTTTGGTGGACAGCATTGCAGTCTGTAGTCAGGTTAAGGACAGGATTACCCCTATTTGATCTGAGCCTTAGTAGAAGTAAGAAATCTCTAGTGGTAGGCTGCTTTGCTTTCTGATCTTCAGCTTTAATTCTAATATTTGTCTCTGGGTTTTGATTATTCATGTTACAAAGAACAAAAAGTGAAAGGTAAGCAATTTTTTTCTCCTTTGGATGATCCTTTTTCCACAGATGATCCATTTCTCACAGACAGTTATTTTGAGTCTTCTTGTACAAGTGATCTTTACATGCTGATCTTTAGGTTTTTGTTTTTGTTGTTGTTGTTTTGGTTTTTCGAGACAGGGTTTCTCTGTATTGTTTTGGAGGCTGTCCTGGAACTCATTCTGTAGACCAGGCTGGCTTTGAACTCACAGAGATCCGCCTGCCTCTGCCTCCGCAGTGCTGGGATTAAAGGCGTGTACCACCAACGCCCCGTGTGATCTTTAGTTTTAATGAAAAGCATCATAAATTACATTATTTAATAGTATATAGTCAGCTTTTTACTGTAGACACTTGTTTTTTTTTTTCTTTGCATTTTTTAATGGTAAGGTTTTACAAAATGAATTGATTTTCAGGTCTTAAAAAAAGAAAATGTCTTTGGGGACTAGAGAGATAGCTCAGCAGTTAAGAGCACTGACTGCTCTTCCAGAGGACCTGAGTTCAATTCCTAGCAACCACATGGGGCTTACAACCATCTGTAATAGGATCTGATGCCCTCTTTTGTCATCTAGGTATATATGCAGAATGTAGGATGGTCAGAAAGGAACCAGCCTTTTCTACCAGCACTCAAGAGACAGAGCAGGTGGGATCTCTGAATTTAAGGCCAGTGTGGTCTACATCATAAGTTCCAGGCATGCCACGACTATATAGACTCTCTCAACAAATAACAAAAAGAGAGCAGTATATATTAAAGCATGTTTTTATGGTGTTCACATTATTAAGACCATTCAAGTAAATAAAGGTCTGTAATTTTCTGCTAGTTTTTATCTTCCTTAGTCTTTTTGTTTTGTTTTATTTTTATTTTTGTTTGGAGCAGGATCTCACTGAGTATAGCTCTATCCTGGAACTCATTATATAGACCAGGCTGGCCTTGAACTCACAGAGATCTGCCTGCCTCTTCTTCCCAAGTGCTATGATTAAAGGCATACACACTACTCCCAGCTATTTTCCTTACTCCTTCAATTGTATGATTCTTCATAATTACTTGCGATACAATTCTTTCTTTTCTTAAAATTAATTAATTAATTAAAAAAATTTTTTTTTTAGGAATAAGAATTTAGAGGATAATTATTGTGAAATTGCTGGTGAGTATGACCAAAATACTTCTCTTAATCATACACCTTTTCCTCACCTAGATTCTTTGATGCAGGTAAAGCATTTTTACACATAAAATAAATAAATCTTAAAAAATTAATAAATAGATATGGTGTACACTTGTAACCCTAGCACACTGGAGGTGGAGGCAGGAGGATCAGAACTTTAAGGTTACATAGTAAGTTCAAGTCCAACTTGGGATACATGAGACAAAATATAAAAAATAATGCCAGCCGGGTGGTGGTGGCGCACGCCTTTAATCCCAGCACTCGGGATGCAGAGGCAGACAGATCTCTGTGAGTTCGAGGCTGGGTTGGTCCAACAGCCTCCAAAACAATACAGAGAAACCCTGTCTCGTAAAACCAAAAATAATAATAATAATAATAATGCCAGGTGTGGTGGCACACACTGTTGTAATCCAGGCACACCTGGCCCTGCCCCTTGGGGACTTGGCAAAGAGTGTCTACCCCTCCACACATGGCAGGCAGTACCCTGGCTCTGTACACAGGTGTAGAAGTCCCTTGAAGAGGCAAGGACTGCCCACTTCCTGTCTCTTCTGATTTTTCTCTGAGGAGGCAGCCCTTTCTGTCAATCTGTCTCTCTCTCTCTTTCTTTTTCTCTTCTCTAGCCTTAACTCCCTTACCTTTCCCCAATAAACTTCAGCTTAAGTTCTGTCTGTAGGTCTAATCTGCCATTTTTCCCTCACCCACCATGGGATCCACCAAGGTCCCCCTTGTGTCATATTCTTAACACACCCTTTATTCTAGTATTTGAGAGGCAGAGGTAGGTGGATCTCTGAGTTTGAGGCCAGTCTGGTCTACAGAGTAAGTTCCAGGTCAACGAGGGCTACATGTACACTGCTTCAAAAAACCAAAAAGATAGATAAAATTACTAACATAGGTAAATATTTTATTTCCAAAGTGAATATAATAATCACTGTCCTCTGTCATTAGAACAAGATTTTTAAGGACCACATAATAACTCAGTAATAGAATGCTTGCTTGGCATGTATGAAGTCCTGGGTTTGATTTCCAGCATTGGAAAAGGAGCATGGGGGAAGGAAAATATATATTCAAAGTCTTAAAGGTGTTTAATCCATAAGTCCTTATGAAGAGATTAGTAACTAGTTGTCTTTGTAAGGTTTCTATTGCTGTGTTAAGCACCATGACCAAAAGCAATTTGGTGAGGAAAGGGTTTATTTTTGTTTACAATTATAGTCCATTATGATAGGAAGTCAAGGCAGGAATTCAAGACAGAAACAACAGGGAGGCAGGAATTGAAGCAGAGACCATGGAGGATTGCTGCTTACTTGTTTGCTCAATGTAGCTTGCACAGACTGCTTTCTTATACAAAACAAGAGCACCTGGTCAGGAATGCCACCTACCACACTGAGCTGGGCCTTCCCACAGGAATGGTTCTATTAAGGAAATACCTTATGACTAGTATTTTCTCAACTGAGACTCTTCACAGATAACTCTAGTTTGTGTAAAGTTGACAACCAAGCAGCCAGGCCACTAGTAAATACATCTAACTAATGTAGGTACTAAATAAGAGAATCAGACTCCTGCATTATGTTTTTCTTATAATACTTTTCTGTTTGCTCCATAGGTATGAACACATTACTTTGTGCTCCTATTCAGACCCAGATACAACAAAAGGAGGTATGAGATCATGTATTTTATTTAATCTCACTGTTAAATAACAGAAAATTTAATGGCAAAGTATAATTTTGAGGTAATTTACCAAAGTGAATTATCATAGCCTATTAAAACTTATATTTCCAATTAATTGATGACAGTTAGCTCCAATTTGAATAATACCAAGACCACTCAAATTTTAATGAACACATGAAATACCTCAGAATTTCATTAAAATATAGATTTTTTAAATTAAAGATATAGTTCAGTGATACCTTGTCTAGCATGTGCAAGGTTTTATATTCAATAACCAACATCATGCAAACAGAAGATGTGTGTATGTATTGTGTGTAGATAGACAGATGAATTTGTGTCCAGTTCAACAGAGTAAACTCTTCAGGGATTTCTCATTTCTTAAATATTTTCTTGCACTGTGCATGAATGTTTCACTTCATGGATGTATGTGCACCATGTGTATGCCTGTGCCCAGAGAAGCCAGAAGAGGGCACCAAATCTCCTGAACTGGAGACCATTGCTGGCTGCATTGCAGGTGCTGGGAGCTGAATGCTCCTAACTGCTGAGTCATATCTATCTCTTAGATGATACTGGCAGCAGATGTCCAGACTGTATTATCTTCAAAAACAAAACCTCCAAAGTACAGAGTATATTATGAATTAGCCATCATGAACCTATGTCTTTCTAAGACTTTTTATTTAGAGTTGGAGTGACCTACTTAGTACAGAATTTTCATTGTGGTTACATTTCATATATTCAGTGCTTTTTATTTTTTAGTCAGTTTGGAAGGCATGTGATTAATTTTGAATTTTAATTTTTCCTAAACAAAAAGTAATTTATTGAGAGGCATTAGCACTACCCCCCAAAAAAATTACGTTTGAGACAGGTTTTTCAGCCCAGTCTGGCCTTTCATGTTTTTGTTATTGTTGTTTGAGAAAAGATCTCACTGTATTGTATAGCATTGGCTGTCCGGGAGATCATTATCTAGACTGGACTGGTCTTGGACTCACATTGATCCCCTACCTCAGCCTCCCAGAGTGCTGAGATCAACAGCCTGTACCACTGTGCCCAGCTACCTCAACGTCTGATCCTCAGCCTTCTGATCCTCCTACTTGTATCTCCTGAGTACTAGGATTATAGGTGTGGATTAACGTATCTGGTCTATGCTGTGCAGGGGATTGGTCTTGTGCATGGTAACCAAGTACTCCACCAATTGAACTACATCCCTAGCTTTAGGGGAAAAAAATGTAATAACAAATTACATATAATATACTACACCACTGATTTAAGTAATCAATATAGTTTGAAACCATTACTAATTGTGTTTATATAGTACATAATATAAACTACCTTTTTCAAAACTTACATTTTTGAATCTTGAGAAATGGTTCAGTTGACAAGATCACTGGTTGCTCTTCCAGACAACCTTGATTCCTAGAACCCATATGGCAACTCACAACCATGTGTAACTCAGGTTCTAGGGAATGTGACACCTTCTGGCCTTCATGGGCACCAGGCACTCTAGTGGTACATAGGCATACATGCAGACAGAACACCCATGCACATAATAAAATAAAAAATTACAAAACCTTATATTTGGTCTTATTTTTTCTGTTTTTCTTTCATTATAGTTTTCAGCTATAGACTACAACCATGAAAGGAAGCATGCAAATGACCAGACAGTCATTTTTTCAGATGAAAACCAAATGGACCTGACAGCAAGTCACACTGTGGTGATTACTAAAGGCCTTTTAGATTGTACCAAAAGTGAAAACTTCAAAAAGATAGATACTACATCCTTTCTGGAAAATTTAAAGCGTCATGCTGAGAATTCAAGAATTAAAAATGAATTAGAATGCCCCATAATTTCCATAAGTCAAAATACTTTCTCAGAAAAGATAAATTCTGACAATTTCATAAAGAGATTGAAGACAGGAAAATACAGTACTTCTATTGATAAGGAAAATTCTGAGATGCCTATTTATTCCAAAGAATCAAACAGTGCCTCTTCTACATATCACATGCATGCATCTCTTAATGTAGATGAAAATACTAGTAATAGGACTAAAATCTTTAGAGAACAAGATGATGGGATGAATTTGACCCAGTGTCATACAGGCTACATTCAGACTTGGATTCCTCCATCCAGGGAGGACAAATTAGGAGGATTTCAAGGAGATACTATAATTTATGGCAATGAGTGTATGGAGTTGACAGCTAGCTCTACAATACAGGTTTTACCATCTGAAAGAGAAACTGAAACTCAAAATGTCATGATGGATGTTACAACACTTGATGAAACTAAAGCTCCAGAGAAGAAAACAGTCCATACGGATAAGCTCAATGCTGCTTTTCAAGCTTTTTTTCCAAACCCTGAAAATAAAATCCATGTTACCAAAAGTCATAATATGGAGTCAGATACTCATATAGTCACACAGACTTTGAATCAAAGTGTCAGCACATTGGCTAAAGCCTCAGAATCTATATATTCTAGTCCAACTACTCAAGGTTATAAGACAATTTTTTATTCTAGTAGCAATGATGCAATGGAACTGACTAAGTGTCTAACAAGTATGAGAGAAGAAAAAAATTTGCTGAAGCCTCATGTTAATTATACTAAAGTGTGTACCAATCCAGTTGCTAGCCCACTAATAGAGAAAACTATTTATTCAGAAGAGGATAGCATGGACATTACCAAGAGTCACACAGTTATAATAGATAATGAGATACTCAAACAAGATGAAGAAAACACTAAAAAAGAAATTACAGCTATACCAGTCTTTGAAAAAGAGATGATTCTCCAAAATCATATAACTATGTCAGAAGATAAGAAAGTGAATGTAAATTATATGTCAGTTCCTCAAGTATCTAAGGAAAGATTACAACAGAGCCCGACAAATACTTTATCTGTTTCCTTGGCTGACAGAAGGATTGAACTCTTAGCAGCTGAAGATATGGATTTGACCATAAGTCACACAAGTAAGTTAAGAAATCAAGTTATTCCTACAAGTTTTGACTTAGCCTCAAAGAATGTCACTAAATCTTATTCCCACAGCAAAAGCCCTTCAGAGGAGTGGGAAAAAATGACCAAAAGTCTTACCCAACCTTTCCAGCAAACAAGCATTGTATGCAAAAACATTCTAACTGACATCCAAAGTAGAGAAAAACATCCAGTTTTGAAGATTTCATCTTGTCTTGATAAAAAGTCTCCTCTGTCAGTCGATTATAACCAGGACGTAACAACAAACCATAATATATCTTCTTCTGGCACAGCTCTGGATAAACAAGTAATGGTAGGACATACAGTACAGGACCAGAATTCTAACCCTCTAGGGCCACAGAGGAAATACTTAGATGATCCCACACCTGACTGTTCTCATAATAAGACGGTAATTTCTTCAGAGGAGCAACAAATGGATCTAACCAAGAGCCACACTGTTGTAATTGGGTTTGGTCCTGAAGTACAAGAACAAAGTAAGTCTAATTCAGAACACAGGAACAGCCAACTTACAACAGTAAACAGACAAAGAGATGCGAACATTTCTATAGGAAAAACTAGAGTAGTAACAACTAATGATATGGGCACCTTAAAGGACAGAAGTATACAGAAGCCTGAATTTCTGAAGGAAAAGCAAAATATTGAAATTAATGGAAGAAAAAGTGTTTGTGGGCTAAAAATTGATAAAACTATTTTATTTTCAGAGGATAATGAGAATGATATGGATATCACCAGGAGTTACACAGTGAAAATAAACCATAGATCTTTATTAGATAAACCTGTGGCAGATACTTCTAAAACCATTCTGTATGCATGTGGACAGGATGAAATGGAAATTACTAGAAGTCACACAACTGCTTTAGAATGTAAAATTATTTCACCAGATGAAATAATGCCTAGCTGCCTAGATAAGACTGTGATGTCTACAGAAGGCCATGAAGAACTAGAAATGACAAAGTCCCATACTGTTTTCATTGACTATCAAGCAGGGGCAAAAGGTGTGTTTCCAGAAAGACCTAACTTTGAATTATCCAAGGATGAACACCTGCAGAAGCCAAAAGGGATGCCTACTCCTGATGTAGAGATTGTCTCCATTTCAAAAAGTAGTGAAAGCAACCATCCAACAAAAGGTAGCCAACAAATTGTACTGGAGGAAGGGTCTCATAGTGGGCCTAGAGAAGACACTAATGATGCGTCTAAATTAGTCACTTGGAAAAATGCCAGTGATGTACAAAAACCTGGATTTCTGCATGAACTTCTGTCAGGCAAAACTCAGACACAAAAAAGCCTTAGGCTCAAAAACAACAAGACCATTATGTTTCCAGAAAATGATAAAAATCATAGAGATACCACTCAGAATTCTGTGGTGAAAACAAGTAATGAAATTAGCCCGGAAGGTGGAGAGGACCTCAGTTTTGTGCCATTGTCAGGAACTTCTACACCAGTTTTGTCTGCAGACAGTCCAAAGGACATGGAGATCTCTAAAAGTCAAACCACTGTTTCAGAATATAAAACTGACCCAGCAGATGAAATAACTACTATACCTACAGACAAAACTGTAATGTTTGTAGATAATTTTGGTGATCTGGATGTTACCAAGTCTCATACTGTTTTCATTGATTGTCAAGCCAAAGACAAAGTACTTCATGAATGTACTAAATCGGGAATGTCAAGAACAAAAGGCTTGAATGATCTTGAAGGTGATACTTGTATTCAAGAAGCATCATATTCTATAGTTACATCTAATGTTTCATGTTTTAGTAATGTCAAATCAAGTCTGAGTAATTTGAATAGAAAAACTGAGGAGGTTTTAGACTTTCAGACTGTTCATATATTACCTCCTGCAGAACAGTTGCTTGAAGTAGGAGATCATGCACATAGTAACATGAGTATACTGCAAGCTACAGGAATATATAACCTAGATTCCAATGATGGTAGAGATGAAGAAAGTAAAAATCTTCATAATGGAGCTGAAACTGCTTCTGTACCACCAAAGGCAGTTGTCAAAGACAAAACAAGAAGATGTTCATTGGGAATCTTTTTGCCCAAATTACCAAGCAAGAGAAATTGTAATATCACTGGTGTTGATGACCTGGAGCAGATCCCAACAGATGCAGCTAACTTAGATCCCTTAGAAACTCAGCCAGCCTCTAGTAAAGATTCAGGCATTGGATCTGTTGCAGCCAGACTGGATTTGAGTCCATCTCAGTATATAAATGAGGAAAATCTCCCTGTATATCCTGGTGAGATTCTTTCCTCTGATTCTATTAGCCTAGACATGGAAGAAAAGGCTCAGATTGACACATACTGTAAAGAGAGTTTACTATCTGAAAACAAGATAGAAACTTGCAGTGCCCAGAAAAGAACCTGGGTACAAGAAGATGATAATGTTACAAATGAGAAAAAAATCAGAACATACGATACTACACAAGATCAGGAGGTAAGTTGTCCAGAACCAAAAAATGTTGAATTTTGTATCTTTGCTTTTGAAATAGATACTCTAGAATCCTGCTGCTGCAACTTCCTTCCTTCCTCCTTCCTTCCCTTTTTAAAGATTTATGTAATATACTTTGGGGTTTGTCTATATGTGTGTCTGTGAGTATGTCAGGTCCCCTGTAACTGGAGTTATAGTTGTGAGTCACCATGTGCGTTCTGGCAATTGAACCCAGGTCCTCTGAAATAGCAGCCAGTGCTCTTAACTGCTGAGCAAACTCTCCAGCCCCTACTGTAACTTTCTTTTTTTTTTTTTTTTTGGTTTTTCGAGACAGGGTTTCTTTGTATTGCTTTGGAGGCTGTCCTGGAACTTGCTCTGTAGACCAGGCTGGCCTCAAACTCACAGAGATGCTGGGATTAAAGGCGTGGGCCATCAATGCCCAGCTTGCTGTAACTTTCTAATTGTTAGGATTATAGGTATATACTACCATACTCAGCTGTATATATTTTAAAACTTATGAATGTTGTTGAATTTGAAATTTCTAAGCAAGTAGAAACTATTTCTGTTTACTATAGGTTAGAGAAATATTTCTGTATAGAATTTTCAGGGGTTATTTGGTAAAAGAATTTAAGATAATGATGTGGTAGCCTATTTCTGTAATCCCATCACTCTGAAGGATGAGGCAGGAAGATTGTTGTGACTTAGAAGCCAGCCTGGGCTATAGAACAAGACCCTATCCTCAAAAAAAAAAAAATCTGTATTTTTTGGTATTTACCTGTAGAGGCAAATACCAAAAAAATGGAATTAAATAATGTATAAATAAACCTGGAGGCAGTGGTCCACACGTTTTAATCACAGTATTCATGAGGCAGAGGCATGCAGATCTTTGTGAGTTTATAGATACAAGGAAACACCGTCTCTAAAAGAAAAAAAAAGTTGTGCAAATATTATCCAGGATTAGAACTGTGTCTTGACTTTTTGAGATAGCATCTTAACTTTATTACCCAGAATAACCTCAAACTTGCAGTCCTCTTGCCCCGCGTGCAAGTGTGATAGAGCACAGCACACATATGAAGGTCAGACAACTTAGTGGAGTTGCCTCTCTCCTCCTTGATGTGGGTTCTAGTGATCAAGTTCAAGTCATCAAGCTTGCAACTTACTGAGTTATTTGACACATTTTTTTTCCTCTTTTGTTTTTCGAGACAGTGCTGGCTGTCTTGGAACTCAGTCACTCTGTAGACCAGGCCGGTCTTAATCTCACAGAGAGCCACTTACTTCTGCCTCCTGAGTGCTGGATTAAAAGGCATGCATCGCCATGCCAGGCTCATACTCATTTATTTTTCTAAAATAATGTCTATGTAGTCCATGCTGGCTTCATCCTCTAAGTGCTGGGATTATAGGCATATGCCTCCTTGAAAAGATCTTCTGTTTTATAAGTATCTAAGGAATAAAAAGCCTTTCACTTATCACTGCCTGAGGGGACAGCCTCCAGCAGTGCAGGGCTCAAAGGGAATCCACTATGCCTTTTTTATCTAAGGGGGCTAAAGGAAAAAACACTCACACTCTCCTCATGGTTTCCTTCAGACTTTTTCTTTATTCTTCTTTTGTATTCTGGTTCTGTATTTGCATTCTCTTTTCTCTACTCAGAAATGTCCTTCTGTCTCTCTTGATGCTTTCCTTCTCTTTTTCTCTCATTCTTGATGTTTTCCTTCTCGCTCAATCTTCATTCTTGATGCTTTCCTTCTAACTCTGTCTTTATTCTTCCTTATTTCTCATTCTTGATGTTTTCTTTCTAACTCATTTTAACTCTGTTCTCTCCCTTACAGCTAATATACCCCAGCAATATAAAAATTACAGTGTAGTTACATTGTTTTTCAAGTGAAGGATTACAGTGAATACAAGTAAAAAAAAAAACAGCATGTTTTCTATATCCCATACATAATTAAACATTTTACATCTTACAGGTGAAAAACAAATTATCCAGAGAACCTATGTACATTCATACCCAAGTATCCTATTATAGATTAATACTGTGTACGTAAACAAGATATTCTTTTACTGGCTGGTACTTTTTGTGGTTACAAAGAAAAGACTGATCACTTTATTACTTGTCTTGAAAGGCAATTTTAGAAAGAATCTTAAAGGAATAAAAAATCTAAACTTTTATATATGAAAGAGAATCAGTCAGCCCTATTTTAAATCTTTAGGGTATATACTCACTCATCAGTTTTTTTATATCAGGAGATTGAGGGCAGAAATGAGTATAAGGAATTAACCATCACCTTTGATCGTCAGTCAACCAATCCTAGCAAGAAAGGCACACCTAATGATAATTGGGCTGCTTTGTTCTTGTTCCCTGACCTTAAAGAGTTCCTCACCCAACTATGTGCCTTTTCTTTTTCTTTCTTTTCTTTTTCTATTTCTTGAGGCAGGATTTCTCTGTATTGCTTTGGAGGCTGTCCTGGAGCTAGCTCTGTAGACCAGGCTGGTCTCGAACTCCCGAGTGCTGGGAGTTCATGTCCCGTTCCCCTTCTCTTGGGTACCATGCATATCTCTCTTAGGGTCCTCCCTGTTTCCCTGACTCTCTGGTGGTGGTATTGTAGGGATAGAAGAAGGTGAAGAAACCCAGCTCAAAATCCAGTTTTATAGGTGGGAAAATAAACATTAGAAATGCTCTGAGATTTGTAAACTCTTATTAAGAACCACATCAGGGGACAGGGCTGGAGAGATGGCTCAGGGTTTACAGTACTGGCTGTTCTTCCAGAGAACCAGGTCTCAATTCCCAGCAACCATATGGTGGCTCACAACTAACTTTAGCTCTTATTCCAGGTGATCTGATACCCTCACACAGACATTCATTCAGGAAAGCACAAATGCATGTAAAAATGAGTAAATCTTTTAAAACATAAAAGGGGACTAGAGAGTTGGCTCAGTGTTTAGGACCACCTACTCTTGTAATGTACTCAACAAGTTGTTCTCAGCACCCCCATCAGTCAGGTGCAGGGGATCCAACACTCTCTACCTGCATTTGTATGTGTATGTGCCCACACAGATATAAACACGTGTACATAATTAAAAATGAAAATCTTTAGGAAAAGAACCACATAAGTAGCTAGGTGTGATAGCACATGCCTAATATTCCAGCACTCAGAAGACTGAAGTGGAAGGACCATAAGTTTAAAGCCAACCTGGGCTGATTTCAAGTAAACTTGGGAGATATATGGTCTAAACTAAACAAAACCAATATCTATAGGCATAGAAGATACTTTCATTGGCTCTGAGGTGAGGTGATGAGAAATAGCCAAAGGTGTGAGAAACTAATAATAGTAATATAACACTTAAATCTGACTACATCTTATGAAAATTAGTATTTTGTTCAAATATTGGTATCTGCTATATACTACTAGTTTCTTCTTCTTCTTCTTCTTCTTCTTCTTCTTCTTCTTCTTCTTCTTCTTCTTCTTCTTCTTCTTCCTCCTTTTTCTTTTTAAAGATTATTTTATTTTATGTGTACAAGTGTTTTGCTTGTGTGCATATATGTATATCAAATGCATGCCTTGAGTCTGCAGAAGCCTGAAGCATGCATCAGATCCTCCTGGAACTGGAGTTACAGATGATTATGAGCCTCCATGTAGGTGCTGGGAACTGACCCCAGTCCTCTGCAAGAGCAGCGAGTGCTCTTAACCTCTGAGCCATCTTTCTAGCCCCTAGATACTTCAATTTTATGAGAGAGTCTCATGTGACCCAGAGTGGCCTAGAATTCAACTTGCTGAAGATGGTCTTGAACATTTGATCTTCTGACACTACCTCTGTAAGGTCAGATTACAAATGTGCACCACCATACCCAGTTTATATGGTGCTGGAACCTAATGCAGTCTTAACAACTGAACTAAATTCCTAGCCCTGCCTGCCTTAGATACTGTTGGAGGTACTAGGAGTACTTCTGAGAGCATGCACCAACAAAAATCTTGAATAATAAGACTTTTATTCTAGCAAGTATTTTTGCCTTCAGAAAACATGCATTGATGGAGACAGTGGTCAGTGCCTAATCTCAGCTACTGGAGAGACTAAGGATTGTAAACTTGAGAATGGGTTATGCCACACAGCAAGATCCTATTTTAAAAAGAAAGAGGAGGGGTGTGAAAATGATATTTGAAGCTAAATCAAATATTTTAGGGTTATTTTTTGTTTGTTTGTGAAACATGGTCTCATTATATAGTACTGGCTGGCTTGGAATTTCCTGTATAGAAAAGACTCACTTTGAACTCAAACCTCTGCCTTCTTGAGTACTGAGATTAAAACAACCATGCTTATTTTAAGTGATAAAAGCAGGACAATTATGATTTATTTGATTTCAACCAAATGAGTCTTCATGAGCTAGATATCAGAAATGTATTTCTTCTGTCTACTCTCATAGCTAATGTGTACACTAAATATTCTAGTCTGCATTTCTTTTGTGTATTGGGGGATACATGTTTGTATGGGCATGTGTGCCTGTGTGTATAGGCATGAAGTTAATTTCAGGTATCTTCCTCTGTCATTCTCCACCTTATTCTGAGACCAAGCCTGACACTGTACCTGGAGCTCACCACAGTTCAGCTATGTTGGTCAGTGAGTCCAGGGGTCTGCTTATCTCTACCTCCTCCCTTCTTTGCCCTCCAGTCCTGGGATAACAGGTTCATGCCCATGTGTCCAGTTTTTATATTGGCACTGGAGATCTGAACTCCAGTCCTCATGCTTACACAGCAAGCACCTTTATCCAGGCTCTAGTTTCCTCTTCTGATGTAGCTTCCCTATTGGTGGCTAGCTGCTAAATAATTAGAAAATTTGACATTTAGTAGCTAATGGTATCTTTCGTTTTGTTGTTGTTGTTTTCTTTTTTTCGAGGCAGGGTTTCTTTGTATTATTTTGGAGGCTGTCCTTGAACTCGCTTTGTAGTCCAGCCCAGCCTCGAACTCACAGAGATCCGCCTGCCTCTGCCTCCCGTGTGCTGAGATTAAAGGCATGCGCCACCAATGCCCGACACTAATGGTATCCTTCTATAACTGAGGTATATCTAAGAAATAGTTTGTTTATACTGTATAGCACATAAGCTACCATTAAAGGCCAAAATTGTTCGATATTCTGCTTATATAAGTTAGTGTATATGAATTATATAGATAAATTTTGTTAGAAATAGTATTTTTGGTAGCCGGGCGGTGGTGGTGCACGCCTTTAATCCCAGCACTCGGGAGGCAGAGGCAGGCGGATCGCTGTGAGTTCGAGGCTGGGCTGGACCGACAGCCTCGAAAACAATACAGAGAAACCCTGTCTCTTAAAAAAAAAAAATAGTATTTTTGTTGTTCAGCATTTAGTCTCTGTAAATTCTAAGTTCATAAAGTTATGCTGATAATTTTAAGTATGTATGTAAAATGTAGTGTGTACCTGATCACACACTTGTGCACACACATAACGTGGCAAGAGGAACATGCCACAGCATGCACGTGGATGTCATAGGATAATTTGTGGTGTCAGTAATCTTTGCTTTTACATGGGTTCTGGGAATAGAACTCAGGTAACTGGGCTTACACAGCAAGTGCCTTTACTACTAAGCCATTTCACTTGCCCCAATGCTGATGCTTCTTTGGTAATTTCAGAGTTTTGATCATCATACTGAAGGGGATATCAATAAAAATGTCAACAATGCATTGATAAGAAGCCTGAGCAGGACCCCATCTAGTTGCAGCAGCGATCAGGATTCAATCAAGGCTGATGGAATCTCTCTGGATGTCAGCAGTAAGGTCTTCCCCTGTTGTCCCCCTTCCCCCCATGCCCCGAGACAGGTTTTCTCTGTGAAGCTGGCTGTTCTGGATCTCACTATGTATATACCAGGCTGCCTCTACCTCCTGAGTGCTAGGATTAAAGGTGTTCGCCGCCACTACCACCTCTATAACCTGGTTAGCAGTAAGATCTTTATGAAGGCTAAATAATAACAGTTATTTGAATCCTTGATTAATAAGTATATTTCAGTTTAGCAAATATTTGAATTCTATATCAACCCTTTCAGTGTTATAGAGCTGATAAGTAAAGTAGTATTTCACTTCCATGTGATTTTTTTTTTAACATTTTTAATGAAATGGGAAGTGGTATACTGCAGCAGAGGAATAGCTCATTTCCTCCAAAAGCTTCTAATTAGTGGGGAAACATTGAATGGAACCTTAAAACTACATTACAGATATTTTGTCTTACTAAGTAAATAGTTTCCTAGAAACATCCTAGTAGATAGAAGCATCATGATCATGAATAGCACGTAAATCTGTAAGATAACTGTCTTAGGGTTTTTGTTGCTGTGAAAAAAACACCAGGATCATGGCAATTCATAAAAACATTTAACTGGTGTGGCTTACAGTTTTAGAAGTTTAGTCCATTAAGGTCATGGCAGGGCATGGCGGCATGCAGCCAGACATGGTGCTAAAAAAAAGGAGCTAAGAGGCCTTCATCTTGGTCCGCAGGCAACAGGAAGTGAACTGTCATACTGTGCATGGCTTTACGCATATATGTGACCTCAAATCCAGCCTCTTCAGTGACAGATTCCTCCAACAAGGCCACACCTTCTAATAGAGCCACTTCCTATGGGCCAAGCATTCAAACCCATGAGTCTATGAGAACATACCTATTCACACCACCACAATAATTAAGTTTTGGTTGTTTTTTGGTATAGGGTCTCACTATGTAGCTTTGACTGCATACAATTGGTCTTAAACCTGCTTCTGCCTATCCAGTGTTGGGATTGGAGGTGTATACCACTATTCCAAGCTTTATAGTTTAGCTTTGTTTATTACATAAATTTTGCTTTGCTTCTAGCACAACGCAATAGCCAAATGGAATCGCAGTTTCTCAGTGACAGTATCTGTGAAGAGAGTTTGAGGGAGGTATGTTAAAGCATTTCTCACTTTAATTATTTTTACATGTATTTAAAGTGTATGTGTGTGAGTTTATATATGACATAGTACACATGTGACAGTCTGAAGACAGCTTGCAGACCCATCGTGTGGGTCTCAGGGATTGAACTCAGGTTCTCAGACTTGGTGCTGAGTGCCCTTACCTACTGAGCCATCCCATAGGCCACTCCTTGTCACTATGGTTTTTGTTTTGTTTCTGTATGTTGAAACAAGGCACTGTGTAGCCCTTGTTGGCTTTAAACTTTACAATGTAGACCAGGCTAGACTTAAACTCCCTGAGATCTGTCTGCATATGCCTCCAAAATACTGGGATTAAAGGTATATACCACTACACACCTGGCTTATTTCTCACTTTTTTTTTTCTTCAAGTCAAGGTTTCTCTGCTTTGCCTTAGCTGTATAGACCAGGCTGGCCTCTTAACTCACAGAGATCCACCTGAAAGACATGTGCCACCACCCAGCTATTTCTCACTTTTAATATACCCCTTTTTTTTCTTTTTGAGCTTACTGTTTTTTGTTTTGTTTTGTTGAGATAGAATGTCAGGCATTTGAGCTAGCCCTAAACTCTCTATGTAACTAGTGCCGGGCTTTGAACTCCTGATCTTTCTGTTTTCACCATCCAAGTGCTAGAAATACAGATGAGTGCCACTACACCTGGATTAGGTATTTTGTTTTCAAGGTAGCTCCCATGTATCCTAGCTGCGCTCAAACTTGATATGTATATGAAAGTAAGCTTAAATTTTTGATGCTGTTGCCTCTACCTTCAGAATGTTAAGGTTACAGAGGTGGGCCACATGCTCAATTTTATGTGGTACTGCGAATCCAGCCCAGAGCTTTATGAATGCTAGGCAAATGTTCTACTAACCATTTTATATTCCCAGTCCTAGAATTTTTTTTAATTATAAAGTATTTCAAGTATAGAAAAGGATAGTTTTCTTCTTTTTTAAAAAAATAATTCGTTTGCTGGGCAGTGGTGGCACACACCTTTAATCCCAGCATTTGGGACACAGATAGCTGGATATCTGTCAGTGCTCTTAACCTTTGAGCCATCTCTCCAGCCCTGTAGCTGGATATCTGTGATTTCAATTCCAGCCTGATCTACAGAGCAAGTTCTAATAAAGCCAGAGCTACACAGAGAGACCCTATCTCAAAAAACAAATAAAAAAATTATTTGTATTTTCTGTACATTGTTTTCCCTGAATGTGTTTCTGTGAGGGTATTAGATCCCATGGAATAGGAGTTACAGACATGCGAGCTGCCTCGTGGGTACTGGGAATTGAACCCTGGACTTCTGGAAGAGCAGCCAGCTCTCTTAACCCCTGAGCCATCTCTCTAGCCTCAAGGCTACTTTTCTTTGTTAAGGATTCAACGTAGTAATCATATGAAATATTATCTTAGTCTATTCTCTCTTACTATAACTGAATACCACAAATTGGGTAGTTTATACGGACCAGTTTGTGTTTCTTTAGGCTTTTGAAGCATAGCATTGCTACAAGCTCAGTATATGCTGATGCTGCCAGGCTGGAGAAATTTCTGCAGAATCTCAGGGTGACTCAGTGTCTCATGACAATAGAGCAGGCTTTCTGAGTTGAGTCAGTTTTCTTCTTATGAAGCCACTTATGTAATCCTGGAGGCCCTAACATTATGACCCTATCCAATTATCTACCACCACATACTATTAACATATAACCATGGGAATTAATGTGAGTTTTGGAGGGATCATACACCTAGCCCTTAGTAAGCATAAATTAATACTAAGGGACAAATTGTGTTTTGAGAAAAAAAATTTTTTGTTTGTTTTTCAAGACAAGGTTTCTCTGTGAAACAGCCCTGGCCGTCCTGGAACTCACTTTATTGACTAGGCTGGCCTCAAACTCACTGAAACCCACCTGCCTCTGCCTCCCAAGTGCTGGGATTAAAGGTGTGAACCACCACTGCCCATCTTGAAAATTATATTAAATAATGTTAAAATGTTAGACTGGGTCTGATGGTCCACATTTTTCATCCTAGCACTAGAGAGACTAAGATTGTAAATTCCAGGCCATACTGGTCTGCATAGCAAATTTGAGCTACTGAGGGATACCTTGTTTAATAACAACAGTTGTAGTAATCTTGCATAAAAATCAACTTAAAAGTTTACTAATGTTTGACTGTTTCCATAACTCAGTAGATTAAGCTGTTTAGAAATGAATCATAAAGAGTCACAGTGCATTTACTTTGACTGTTCATATAAAGTCTTTATTTTATTTTATTTTTTTAGAAACTCAAGGATGGACAAATTACAATAAAGGAGTTCTTCATACTTCTTCAGGTCCACATTTTAATACAGAAACCCAGGCAGAGCAATCTCCCAGCCAAAGTAAGTGCAGTTTCTTGGCAAAGTATTAATATTAGTTAAAATATGTCATACTTACAAAACAATTAAGTTGAACCAGAGCAAACATTTATTAAAAGACAAAACCATGAACCAGGTATGTAGCTCTGTTGGTAGGGGCCTGCCTGAAGCCCTGGCTGCCACGCCTTAACAACCTGAGTTTGTATACCCTGGCAATGCACTTTTTCCTTGCATTGATGTATTTGTTATAATATCAGCTGTACCTACTGTAAAATATTCCAGTGATGCCTTTGGAGGCGAGACCTCAAATTATCCAGCTTGGCAACACTCCCAGTTTCATATCCATGAAGATTTTCTTTTACTTCAGTGGTATAACTAACAAGATCTTCAAGTCTTGGTGTCTATAAAGTAGAGAGAGATCAAATGATGGAGTATATATAGATCATGGGAAATGAGGTTTGTAGCTGTGGGCATCTGGCCCAGGACTTGGATGACTTTTTAGAGTAGAAGAAGTAGGGAACATGTATTTGGTGGGAAGCAGAGGTGTTCTAGTCTTCATAGACAATGTTTACAGCTCCTTTATATGTATATATATTGTAGCATATCAGCTGACTTCACTGGTAGAGGGTATATTTATAGCCTTGCATGAACCATGCATGTTTGTGAAATGGTTGAAGCTAAAGTACTCAAACTCATAAAGTATGATTAGGTTTAATAACTCCTTGGCCTGAAGAATCCAAGTTGATTAAGGTGGACACTTAATCAAAATGAATAAAAAATGTATATTCAAGATGCAAAAACTAATCTACCCATTGAGTACAGTAATAGCTATCTACTATGTTTCTCGGTTCATGAACCTTTTATCCATTGACATTGCTGGTATTTCACTTGACACATGATTATATGCTTCACCTTTTTAAAATTTATTTTTATTTCATATGTATTGATGTTTTGTCTGCATGTATGTCTGTGGATCGTGTGTGTATAATGCCCAAAGAGGCCAGAAGAGCGCATCAGTTCCTGTTGTTTTTCATTCAGTACAGTGGCTGTCCCAACAGGCAATTGCAACTCTGCAGCTACTAGCAGTGGATTGGCCACATGAGCTAAAGCCAGGAGGGAATTCTGTTCCCTCAGGCACTGCAAGGTTGCTAAGGAAACATTATCTAAATCTCTATCCTTCTCTAGGACTCAGTACTCAAAGGCTGAAATGAAAATCCTGCTAGGTCACAAAGGGTAACTTTCTCTCTGCTCATCTTGCAAAAAAGAGGCCGTCCTTCTGCTCAGCCCCCACCAAAGAACCCTCCCTACACTTAGTTCCTTCCTGTCAGCTAGTTGCTGACTCAGCCTTTTGACCCCAGGTTAATTTTATTTAATCAAAGAAATGTAACACATCTTTGTTAACAAAATCAGCAGAAACAAATGTAACATACCTTTACACAGTTAAAATAATTCACAATATTTCCCCTTTTGTTTAAATAAAAATGAAAGTTTTTTAACTTTAACATAGTAAAATTATATACAACAAAAACAGTTATTGCCGGGCGGTGGTGGCGCACTCCTTTAATCCCAGCACTCGGGAGGCAGAGGCAGGCGGATCTCTGTGAGTTCGAGGTTGGGATGGACTGATAGCCTCCGAAACAATACAGAGAAACCCTGTCTCAAAAAACCAAAAAAAACAAACAAACAAACAAAAAACAGTTATTAAGTAAGAATTACATTTACAATATTCAGGCTATTTGTATTTAGCAAATTCAGAGAAAATACTCCATTATCCATCCCATCTTAGTGACTCCACAGTTTTATACCTAACTTACTTTCTATCATAATTAAGAAAAACTATAACTCTATCTAGTCTTCAACTCCATCAAAGACCCCAGAAGGATGTAATATTATTTAACAACAGAGACATCTGGCTGCCTGGACAGTCAACCAAAGTTCTTCTGAAATATTGGGGCATCCATCTTCGGCCTACAGGCCGAAAGTATCTGGCAGACTTTTCAGCAAGAAATTTGAAGAACTGTCCTGTTTTTGTTTTGGTAAAGTTTGTCATTCACTTTTGTCTATGTTCTACAGAATTATCTGGCAGACTCTTCTTTGAAGTAGAAATCTTGAAGGACTGTCTTGTCTTGTTCAATATTCAACAGTCATTTTCTTTATCCCACTTGGCCAGTATGTATAGCATACTGTCATCAATGAAGGCAAGAGCAATTTCTTGCCCAAATAGCTAGCCTTGCCACATTGAAAGCAAACTCCATATGGAGTTTCTTCAATGCCCATCATTCTTTTATGAAGTAAGTTGGTGCTTCTAGGAGCAGATATGTCTCATTGTCATGAAAAACCTTAGGTTATTAACATCTTAAATGCCATATTCTGTAGGTCTTTGAAGTGTTTGAAAATCATATATGTCTAAAATATACTTGTTTAACCTTGAAAACATACCTAATATGACTGCATTTTTAATTATTTTAGGTTAACTACTAACTTCATTTCTTTTTTTAAAAAAACATTTATTTTTTTATGCATACAGTGTTCTGTTGGCATGTATGCCTACATGCCAGAAGAGGGCACCAGTTGTGGGCTACCATGTAGTTCCTGGGATTGCAGACATGAGCCCACTACATTGAATTTCTTTCCTTTGTGTTTTAAATAAAGTGGTTCCTAGGAAGCTTAATTTTTTTTTTACTTTCTTATTCTTTGTATCTTTCACATCTTTGTATTTTATCCCATCCATTTTCCCATTCCTTCGAATCCATCCTCTGGCCTTGCAATACGCCCCCATGGAATAAAATAAAATTTAAGAGAACAAAAGAAGAAACCAGTCTCATCATGGAACCTATGGTGTGACACAGTGAGTCACATAGTAAACCCTTCATCCATATATCTTTACTTGCAATGTTCATTGTAAGCGTCATTGGTGTGGATCGAGGCCTCTGGCTTTTGCTATGCAATCGGTGCTGGATCCTGGCTGGAACTCCTCTTGGTTATCCTGTTGCTGCTCTGTATCATGGAGATCCTGTAGCTTTGGGTTTGCAGGACCAGTCCCTTCAGGCACTCCAGCAGATCACAGATAGAGTGGATGTTGGGGTGAGCCGGTTCATGCCCTGGTTTTGGCCTAGATAGTTGCAGCATTGGTCAGCTTACCAGCTCTCCTTGTCCTAACCTCCAGGGGGAGCGTTCCTTCATTGCCTCAGCTAGTTGCAGAGATGAGCAAGGAGCATACCCAGTTCTCCAGCTTTCATGTCCCCAGGCTCAGCTCTCCCACACCTACACCTTCAGGGCCAGCTCTACTGAAGTACCCTCTCAAGTGCTGCAGCTGATGAGGGGCAGGGCCAGGGCCAGGGGTGGGCTGAGGAGGTGAGGGAAGGCATCTCTCCCCTTCCCATGCCACCACATGACAAACGAGTAATGGGGACAGCTCTCTCATGTTACAACTTCAGGGCTGGCTCACCCATACCTCCAAGATGGACTCTATTCTGTTAAGCTTAATTTTTAAGTGTTGGTTTTCTTTTTTAAGTATACATGTATTATGTATATATGTGTATGTATACATACATGTGGATGCTTAGAGGTCACAGGACAATATTGGAGCCACCTTGCTACCTCAGTTTTCTTAAAATAGTTCGTAATCATTTTAAAATCACTTTCGGTCAATATCCTTAGCTCACCTGAACACCTGGGGAAGAGTGGACTTTGAAGTTTGAGATACGAATAGAGGGTTGAACTTGTAACTTACTGTGTAAACTTTGTGTAGCACTTAAAGTTTCTGTGTATAATTTTTCCTCCACAGTATTGGGGATTGAACCCAGAACCTCAGACCCTATACGGAGCTACACACCCAGCCCTGTTGTATAACTTTTAAAAATAGGCACTGTAGCCAGGAGGTGATGATGCACATGCCTTTAATCCCAGCTCTCAGGAAGCAGAGACAGTCTGTGTCTTTGAGGCTTACTGGTCTACAGAGCAAGTTCCAGGACAACACAGAGAAACCCGTCTCAAAAAAAAAAAAAAAAAAAAAGCCAGGGTCATTCTAATACTGAATTTGTTTTTGTATGTGGTTTTATCCTCAAAATGCCAGTTTTAGTCAGGTATTGGTGCACTCACTTGTGTAATTCTAGGGCTTGGGAGGATCAGGAAGGAGGTCAGTGTAATGAGTTCCAGTCTAGACTAGCCTAGCTATATGAGACCCTCTGTCAAAGGAAACAAAGATGATGACGGATAGGATTAGGGAAGTGGGGGTGGCAAGGGGAGGGAGAACTGGGATTGGTATGTTTAAAAAAAAAAGATAAATAAAATTGAAAAAAAAATGGAGGGAGCTAGAGAGATGCCTCAGAGGTTAAAAGCACTGGCTGCTCTTCCAGAGGTCCTGACTTTAATTCCCAGCAACCACAACCATCTGTGATACGATCTGGTACCCTCTTCTGGCCTGCAGGTATATATGCAGTTAGGACACTGTACATTAAAAAAAAGGGGGGGGGAACGACAAAAAACAACATCTGGTTCTTCCAGACATGGTGTCATAAGCATGTAATCCAACAAGAAGATCACAAGTTCCAGACCAGCCTAAACTACATAGTTAGGCTCTTTTTTTTAGATTTTTCAAAGAAAAATGTACCGGTTTTGATTGACTACTTTAGTTTTCTTTCTTTTCTTTTTTTAAAGTTTACTATAAACACATCACCTACCCCAGAAGATCTGATGTTGAGACAGTATGTTTATGGACCCAAGATACAGATTTACAGAGAAGATTGTGAGCTTCTTCGCCAAAAGATTGAAGAGTAAGAAAGTTTTAATTTTTTTTCCCTTGTGATTGTATTTGGAGGGTTATAATAAACAAATGGTCTGTGTGGTATTTTAATTAGAATAACAGCAGCATGGAAAAAATGGATAGAATTAGTTGGCAGTATGACATGAATGGAAAACCAGTTCTGTCTACAATTTAGAGTATTCAATGTAGGATATGTAGAACCAGGGGCCAGACATTCTTGGAAAAAACCTGAGGAGGAGGAGGGGAACCCTCCCAGGGTGGGAGGTCTAGAGTTTGGGACTCATGGTCTGATCTACTAGTGGGGGAGAAAGTCCCAGAGTCTGCCTAGACCTATCCTAACACTCAGAATCAAGTCTGTTCATTCAAGAATTCAGCACCTCCCCCATCTCTGCCTCCTCAGTTCCCTAAAGGTACCAGGGACTTCTGTGTCATCCTCAAGTCCATCCCCTTCCCTGTCCATGTCCTCCCTGCGTGCGCCGGGGTGGGGGTGGGTGGGGGGGTGGGCTGGGGGTGGGGAATGCCCTTTGACCTCTCTGACTCTGATTCTTCTTTTTTTTTTTTTTTTTTTTTTTTTTGGTTTTACGAAACAGGGTTTCTCTGTTTTGGAGGCTGTCGGTCCAGCCTGGCCTCGAACTCACAGAGATCCGCCTGCCTCTGCCTCCGGAGTGCTGGGATTAAAGGCGTGTGCCACCACCGCCCGGCTTCTGACTCTGATTCTTTTCACTTCCCAGCATCATTGTGACACTAACTGCTGTTCTTTAAATGTTAAAGAATCATGCTTGCTATGTTTCCTGAGTGAATTCCCCCTTTTATGACAGAAAAAAAATGAAGATCATTAAATTTGGCTGTATGTTTAAATTGGCTTTTTAAAGCAGAATTCTAAATCCTATATTAACTTTTTTGTTTATTTTAGATTAAAGATATCTGCATTGAACCAAGATAAACTATTACCTGATGTAAATAGGAACTTGTGGGAAAAAATGAAAGACTACTCTGACGAAGAGGTATTTTTATGTCATTTTCTGAATAAAAACTGACAAATTTCAAGATGAGAAACTGTTACTGAGCCTGACATGCCTTTAATCCCAGCACTCTGGAGGAAAAGGCAGGTGGATCTCTGAGTTCAAGGCCAACCTAGACTACAGAGCCAGTTCCAGGGCAGCCAGGGCTACACAGAGAAATCCTGTCTCAAAAAAAAAAAAAAAAAAAAAAAAAAAAGGAAAGAAACTATTATTTTATGGTATGGAGTTCTTTAATTTAGTGATATAGTGTGCTACTGTAGCCTTACCTAATTATTACCAAGTAGCTGTTCCAATGTGTAATGACTAATTTAGCATGTAAAATATATACCATGTTCCTTCTTTTTTATTGGCATTTACCATAGATTTAAATAAAGATTTTCTTTAATTTATTAGCTATTTATTAATTCATTTTACATGTACACTAGTATATAGTAATATTTTGTTAATTAACAGCCAGTGTTTTTCTAGTCTGTAAAATGAATAAGTGAATTAAATCAGATCTGAGATCTTTGATTATATTTTTAAATAGATATTCAGAATAGATATTAGGTGTGGTGGCACAACCTATAATCCCAGCACTTTAAAGACAGAAGCTAGAAGATCACATTTTAAAAACCATGTTGTTGGGGCTGGAGAGATGGCTCAGAGGTTAAGAGCACAGCATGTTCTTCCAGAAGTCCTGAGTTCAATTCCCAGCAACCACATGGTGGCTCACAACCATCTATAATGATGTCTGATGCCTTCTCCTGGTGTACAAGCATGTACACAGATTTAAAGAAAAAAGACCAATGTGGTCTGTATAATGAGTTCCAGATCAGACAGAGAAGTTCTTGCTTTAGGAATCAGAATCTAGATTAGCCTAGGACAGGCAGTCTAACCTGTCTTCCCAGACCTTACTTATCTTATCTGACTTGTTTTTTTAATATAAAATGCTTTTTAACTCTCTCATACAGCTAAAGACCTACGGGATTTACCTTAACAAAATAAAATCACGTTATACCAAGATGACGAAAGTCTTCACTCACCAAGGAAAAGTGGCTCTGTATAACAAATTGGTGCATTCAGCTGAGGTAATTCGAGATAGTTAATATATAACAATTTATAGTGTGAAATTGAAGAATGCTTCTTAGGAGACACATAAATGAGGATTGCTATAAAAGCGTGTTTATAAAAAGTGAGATTATATTAATCAAAAGCTTCAACTTTGAGTTTGAGACCAGCCTGGTCTACAAGAGCTAGTTCTAGGACAGCTTCCAAATCTACAGAGAAACCCTGTCTTGAAAAAAACAAACAAACAAACAAAAAACCCAATATATGTCTCATCTCATTGTCATCCATATTACATTTTGAAATAAACTGTGATTTTGTCTTCCCCATTCATACATACGGCAGTATTATCTCCCTTATATTCATAACCAGTTGCATGTGTATATGTTTATCCTTTTCTGTTTATAAAAGCTCTATGTAGGGCTGAGAATGTAGTTCAGGAGCATTTGCTTAGCATTTGTTCAATTTCCTGTTTGAGAGACAGGAGTAGGGTGTTCCTGCCAGTGATCTCGGGCATGTAAGCCTGTACACAAGAGCAAACAAGCAAGGTAGCTCTGCTTGATAAAACGCTTTATTGGCAAATAACTATAGAAATGTTGTATACAGTATCTTCTTTTACAGAAATAAAAATTAAAAAATAGGGCCTGGACAGATGGCTCAGGGGTTAAGGGTGCTGGCTGGTGTTCCAGAGGTCCTGAGTTTAATTTGCAGCAACCACATGGTAGGATCTGACTTCCTCTTCTGTTATGCAGAGCACTCATACATAAAAAGTAAATGAGATTAAAAAAATATTTGTGTCTGGTCAACATACCTACAGGAAATTGAAGCAGGAATATTATCATAACTTCTGTACCACATCACAAGAACCTGTCTCAACAACAACAGTAACAAAAACAGACAAACAAAAAAACACTAAAAAGTCTGTAATTCTGTTTGATCAGTGTTTCCCATATCTACCTGGTCACAGAAAAAAAAAAACCTTTTTAAGTAATATTAATATCCATAGTCATGAAACACATATAGAAAAGAAATGCTATGATGAAAAGAAATAAAGAATTAACTCATTAATCTTTTAAAATTAAATTGATAAAATTTAAGTCCAGATTAAATGTCTTGACCTTAATTTTAAGATTTGCCTGTTTATACCAGTATGGTGACACAGGCCTGTAATCCCAGCTGCTTGAAAGTCTAAGATAGGCACATCACAAGTTCAAGGCACCTGGACAATTTAGCAAGACCCTGTCATTAAATAAAAAGTGAACAAAAATTGGATAGTAATAAAGAGCAGTAGTAGATCATATGACCAGTATGTTCAGTTCTTGTACTGCCAAAAAAAAGGAAAACAAAGTTTGCCATTTATGATTGTGACAATAATTGACTTTTATAAAGTTGAAATACTATAGTAATTGAACTATTATTAACCTTTGTAATCTATAATACTTTATGTTTAGAATGAGGAGAAGAAACTTCAGATAAAAATAAATGAGATGGACAACATACTTAAGAAGATCAGTAATTGTCTCACTGAAGTGGAAATAGGTAAAGTATTCATGTTTTCCTTGGGTGAGGATAGAGCTCAGTGATAGAATGCTTGCCTACCATGCCCTAGGCTCAGTCCCTGCAACTACTCAAAGTTAAAGGGTGATTTCCTATAAATGCTTCTATATGGTATAAAATTAGGTCTTACTATGCTATTTTAGCAGCTTCAGTTCTTAAAATGAGGCAAATTTAAACCCTTTTTTGGGCTAATGAGAAGGCTCAGGGCATAAACGTTCTTGCCACCAAGCCTGATGTCCTGAGTTTGATTTCTGGGACCTATGTGGCGGAAGAAGAGAACTGATTCTCACAGTTTTCCCTCTGACCTCCATAGGAATGCTGTAGTGCATACCCCTCACACAAAGTAAAGATAATGAAAAGTAATAGTAAAACCTTGTTTGCTATAATCATCCATAATACAATAAAGAAGAGATGCCCAAGAAATTAAGTCAGTTTTCAAAGCTCTTCATAACCTATACCATAGTCTTGTATGGTTTTGCTTATTTTGGGGACTGTCTTTCTGTGTAGCCCAGACTGGCCTGGAATTTATCTAAGCTAGTCTTATGATCCTTCTCCTTGCCTCCTGAGTGCTGGAGTTACAAGTGGGTGCCTGTGTGCCCAGTAGTCTGTGTTTTTTGTTTTGTAATCACACTTGCTTGTTTCATTGTTTCTGAGTGTGTTAATACGAGGTTTATTTTTTGAGATATATTTATTTTTATATTTTATTTTAAGTGTATGGGTGCTTTGCCTGCATGTGCACCATGTACATACAGTGCCCATGGAAGTCAAAAGAGAGTGTTAGACCTCCCTGGAACTGGAGTTATAGATGGTTGTAAGTGCTGGAATGTGGGTACTAGGAATCACAAGTCTTAGCACCCACATTGCAGCTCACAACAAGTCCTGGTATCCACCTGGTCCTCTCGAAATTATGGAACTATCCTCTTTGGCCTCTTAGAATCCCAACTAAATTAGTTTTACTTTCCTTTGTCTCCTTTAGGATCACAAAATTCCACATATTCATCAAATTTTGGTTCCCTAGTCATTAGTCTGTTTCCTTGTTTTACATTGCTGATTGGTTTTTTTTCTTCCTCAAACATTTATCTTACTTTACCTCTATGACATTATACAACCTGACTCTGATTCTGTTCTTTATTACTGGGTTTTCCTTTTAGCTCCTGTGTTGTCTTTTCTTACTCATACTAACCCATCGGCACCCAGGTGAGGTTTTCATGGCTGCATATAAATTTAGTTCAGGGGATCCAACACCCTTTTCTGGCATCCACAGGCACATGCACACATGTGCACACCTTTGTCTAGACACACACACACACACAGAGACATACACATACACATAAAATAAATCTTTAAAAATTTATAAGTTCCATGGAGGCATGTTTTTTTTTCCATGTTCTTTAAGTCCCTAGCACTACGTATTGCACAGTAAAAGTGTCTAATACATGTGTCCTGCATTTAGTTGAAAATGAATATATGAATATAATAATTTTAAAATAACTTTCTGCATATTACTTTATTTTCTATTTCACAATAAAATAGAGGCCATCACACTAGGACTTCCAAACTTTCTAATATCAAAGAAATCAAATGAATGTTTATTCATTCTTTCATCCTTCTTTTCTTTTTCCTGAGGCCAGTCTTTCCATCTAAACTGATTCTGCCAGGTGTGATAGTGCATACCCTGTAATGCCAACACTGGAGAAGCTGACTATTGAGGCCAGCCTTAGCTACGTAGTGAGTACTAGGCTAGCCAGCGCTACATAGCAAGATCCTGGCTCTTAAAAAAAAAATTAAATAGGACTGGAGAGATGGCTCAGAGATGAAGAACACTGACTGCTCTTCCAGGGGTCCTGAGTTCAATTCCCAGCAATCACATGGTGGCTCACAACCATCTGTAATGAGATCGCTCTGCAATGAAATCTGGTGCCTTCTTCTGGCCTGCAAGCATAGTAAATAAATAAATCTTTAAAAAATAAAATAAATAAACTTGATTCCTATTATGTCTTCTCAGGAATCTTATATTACTGATTTCTTTTTTATCATATATTTAATGTCTCCATTTCCATTGAACTTGTTTACATAACAGTCATCCTTAAAAAAGGGCTAAGGGAACCGGGGGTTGTTGGTACACACCTTTAATCCCAGCACTCAGGAGGCAGAGGCAGGCCTCTGTGAGTTCGAGGCCAGCATGATCTGTCTACGCAGCGAGTTCCAGGACAGCCAAGGCAATACAGAGAAATCCTGTCTCGGAAAAAACAAAAAACCAGAGCTAGGATGTAGTTTACTTCGTGTTAAGTGTTTCCATCTCCAGCACCAACTCATGAAGTCGGATATGAATGTACATGCATGCCTATGATCTCAGCACTCTAAAGGTTGAGCCTGAAAGAACAAAAGTTCAATGTCGCTGAGCGGTGGTGGCGCACGCCTTTAATCCCAGCACTCGGGAGGCAGAGGCAGGCGGATCTCTGTGAGTTCGAGGTCGGGATGGACCGATAGCCTCCGAAACAATACAGAGAAACCCTGTCTCGTAAAAACCAAAAAAAAAAAAAAAAAAAAAAAAAAAAGTTCAATGTCTTCCTGAGCTACATATTAAGTTCAAGGCCACCTGAGGTACTTGAGATCCTGTCTCAAGAAATAAAAATAAAAATAAAAAAGCAAAAAAGATTGGGTATGGGTGGCTCAAATCCTGTAATCGAAGCATTTGAGAGGCTAAGGCAGGTAGAGTACCTTGATTTCAAGGCTGGCATGGTTTACATTTTTGAGTTCCAGGCTAGCCCCAATAGTATAATATCCATAAAAAAAGGGGAGAGGGAGGGACTAGAGAGCATTGGCAGTGAAGCCTTTAATCCCAGGCCAGCCAGGTTTACAGAGCAAGTTGCAGGACAGCTATCTCAAAAAACCACAAAAACAGAAAAAGAAAAACCCAACAGCTGTGGTTGTTAGGTAGCAATAAATGTCTACCCTTTTCTTCTTTAATTGTTCATTAGCTAATTTGCTTAGTTGTTTGTATCCTTTATGTGCTTAGTATGTAGCACTCAGTATTAGAAACACACTAGAAAACAAAAACAAACATGGTTTGTGCCCTTGTGGACCAATTTTTTTTCTTACGAAGACAGGATATCATGTAATATAGAATGACCTCTAAACAAGTAGTTAAGAGTGGCCTTAAACTCCTGATCCTCTTTCCCCTCCCCACTACTGGGATTGAGTACATGTACTACCATGCCCAGCTCCTTATGGAACTTTTAATCCAGAAGCAAGAGTAGACACTAAACAAATAAACTGGGTGTGGTGTTATACACTTGGCATCTCAGCCTGTAAGAGATGGAGTCAGGAGAATTAGGAGTCTGAGGCTATGTAATATGAGACCTTTCCTCAAGAAAACAAAGCACCTTCACCCCAAAAAGTAATTTTATAGTAAATTTTGTAGAAGATGTTAAAGGTGATGATACTTCAATAGAAATTTGACCTAGGATTAAAAGATCAAAGCAGTCTTCCCTATACAGAATAGACTTTTCAGTTAAAATCTGAAAGATGAATAGGAGTATAAAAAGTAAAAAATAAGAGAAGCCAGGCTATGAGTGTGAATCCAGCCTAAGCTACAGAGTAAAACCCTTTCTTTTAAAACATATAACTTACTAGGAAAAGCCAAAACTACCTGTCTTCAAAAACCAAAAAAAGAAAAACAAACAAACAAACAAAAAAACACAGGCCAGACATCCCAGCACTTAAGGAGGCAGAGGCAGGCAGATCTCTGTTAGTTCAAAACCAACCTGGTGTGCATATCAAGTTTCAGGAAATTTTACATCAAATAAACAAACCACAGATGTGTGCGCCTGCACTTGTGTACGTACACACAGAAAGAACACACAACAGACTATTCAGAATTAATATGTACAAAAAGTCTTATGTGGAAAATACACCGACTACATGGGTTTGAAGATAGAGCCAGATTAGAATAGAGAACAAAATGTGATCCAAATAAAACTAGATTTAGTATTAGGGCTAGATATAGGGCAGTCTCATAAGGAGTTCTAAAAATTTTCATGACCAGTGAACCGTAATGTGTATATTAAGCACTAATGATGGTATAAGGGTTTGATTAGTTGAAAAAAAAATGCAAGCTGGTTGTCATGGTATGTATCTGCAAGCACACAGACACACACATATATGTATGTGTATATGTATATATGTATATGTATATATGTATATATATATATTCTACATAATGAGTTCTAAGCCAGTTTAAGCTACATAATTAAACCCTACCTTAAGAAAAAAATGCTAGGGGGGGTAATTGTTGAAGTAAAATTTAAGCTTAGAGTAGGCACAGTAACACATGCTTCTAATCCCAGTACTTAGAAGGTACAGGTGGATCAAGAGTTATCATCACCTTACTCAGTGAGGTCAGCCTGGGCTCCAGGAGACCCTGTTCCAATCATAAACAAACAAATAAATAAATAAAAGTTGTTTTTTGTTGTTGTTGTTGTTGTTTTGTTTTAGATACTAACTTGAAACAAACTGGGCATGGTGATACTCCTGTAATCCTAGCTACTTGGGAGACTTCTGCAGTAAGGTCACAAGTTTATAGCTGGCTTGTGCAGTGTCTGTGCAAAACCCTTCTGAAAAGTACTAGAGAAAGGCCAGCAATACTTGATTAATTCTGATCTTTTAAACCCATGAAGGGAGGAAAGAACTGACTCCCAAAAGTTGTCTTCTGAACTCCAAGTGCTTACACCACACACACACACACACACACACACACACACACACACACACACACACACACACTGGATTTTTATTTTTTAAGTACAAATCACTATCATTAGCTCAGAGTTCACCTATCTGATACCAGAAGTCGTCTACGACCATACCACCCTAAACCTGCCTGACCTCGTCCAATACCAGATGTCTACAAAATTATAGTTCAGGGCTTAATTGGCAGAGGATGATGGATATTTGTAAATATTCCCAGTATTTCATCTTGAGCCATCTACTGTCTTATTCCCAATATTTAATGTGTCACTTTTACCTGGAGTTTCTTTAATGCTTGATGTTTACCTTAGAAACTAGGAATTTGGAGAATGAAGAGAAAGATGACCCTATGGAAGAATGGGACTCTGAGATGAAAGATGCAGAGAAAGGTAACTAACTTAGATAAGGAGATAAGTTCAGTGGGTTTAGTGGTGGTGCATACCTGTATCCCAGCACTCCAGGAGACTGTCTCAAAAAACAAAGATGAGTCCAATGAGGAGAGCAATTTTGTGTTCATTAACACCTTAAATAGGATTAGGTCAGAATTTCCAGTAAACTAAATGATTTTTGTGGCAACTTTCTGCTGATGTCCTTTTTATGCTTGCTTTGTTTTGTTTTGTTTCCACAGAACTAGAACAGCTGAAAGCTGAAGAGGAGGAACTCCAAAGGTCAGCTGACAGTTGAATGTTCAAAAAAAAAAAAAAACGCAGTTCCTAGATGTGGTGATTTGTGATTTAATCTTTGTGCATTTTAGGCCTGCCTTGTCTACATGGGGAGCTTCAGGCTAGTCCTAGCCAAGGCTACATAGTGATCCTATCTCAAACACACACACACACACAGACATGTGCATAAAAAAAAGAAAATTAAGCCGGGCGTTGGTGGCGCAAGCCTTTAATCCCAGCATTTGGGAGGCAGAGGCAGGCGGATCTCTGTGAGTTCGAGGCCAGCCTGGTCTACAGAGCGAGTTCCAGGACAGCCTCCAGAGCCACAGAGAAACCCTGTCTCGAAAAACCAAAAAAAAAAAAAAAAAAAAAAAAAATTAAAAATACATTCTAAGTGCTAGCAAGGAACAGTTAAGTCTGCTCTTCCAGAGGACCTTGGTTGGATTCTCAGCACCCACATGGAATCTGACAACTGCCTGTAATTCCAGTTCTAGGGATTCTGATGTCCTCTTCTGGTCTCCTTGGGCTCCTGCACACATGTGATGGTGCTTGTAAACTCAGGTACACACATGTGCACTTAAAAATAATAAATCTTTTACCAAATGTTAAAGGTAAAGACTTTCAGACTAGAGAGATAACTCAGCGGTTAAAAGCACTGACTGCTTTTCCAAAGGACCTGGGTTCAATTTCCAGCACCACATGGCAGTTCACAACTGCAGGCAAAGCCCCAATATACATAAAAAAAATAAATAAAAATCTTAGAAAAAAAGACTTTCAGAATTGTTAGATACATTTAACTCTAGTAATCAAAAATGCAAAAAGGTTATCTGTATTTTAAGATGTTGCATTTATTTTTCTAATAAAAGTAAAAGCTTAATAATTATGTTTTAAAAATAGGGAACCCCAAAGATATCTTCTTTGATCTGAAATTGAGAGACAATGATATATATCTTTTCTAAATAGACCTATATTAATGTAGTTGGTTTTTTTTTGTTGTTGTTGTTGTTGTTTTTTGGTTTTTTGAGACAGGGTTTCTCTGTATTGTTTTGGAGGCTGTCCTGGAACTCCCTCCCTCTGTAGACCAGGCGGGCCTCAAACTCACAGAGATCCACCTGCCTCTGCCTCATGAGTGCTGGAGATAAAGGCGTGTGCCACCAATGCCCGGCTTATTAATGTTTTTTTTAAAAAAAATCATCTCATTGACAGCTGTCCAGCTTATAACTCCTTATCATAAGACATTTAATGTATAGTTTATGTATTTTTAGTATATGTGTGTACATGTGTACCTGCATATATGTGGAAGCCAGAGGGTAACATCAGGTATCTCTTTGTCTCTCTCCACCTTACTTTTCTGTTGTTTTGTTTTTCAAAATGGGGTTTCTCTGTGGCTTTGGAGGCTCTCCTGGAACTAGCTTTTGTAGACCAGACTGGTCTCGAACTCACAGAGATCCGCCTGCCTCTGCCTCCCAAGTGCTGGGATTATATGCCATTACTGTCCAGCCACCTTACTTTTTTTAAAACTAGGTCTCACTATGTAAATCTGACAGATTTGGAATTTACTAGGTAGATAAGACAGACTTTGAACCCACAAAGATCTGCCTGCTTCTGCCAACTGAATGCTGGGGTCAAATATGTGCACCACCGTGGCCAGCCTCTACCTTAGCTTTTAAAACAAAGCCTCTCATTGAACTCAGAGCTCAATAATTGGTTATACTGACTGGATAGCTAACACCAGGATCCCTCATTCTCTGAGCCTCCACCACTAAGGTTACAGACATTCACAGCCTTGCTTAGCCTTCCCTGGATGCCAGGGATCCAAACTTGGGTCCTTATGCTGTCACGAGGAAACTTTTATTACCTGAGTCATCTCCTCATCCCCAAAACATTTTTTCCTGTTTTGAGCTAACTAACAAATACTTTGTTTTTCTGTGAATACTTGATTTTATTTGCAGAAAGTTCTTAGAAGTGGAGGCACAGAAAACACAGACCCTTGCTCAGATAGAGTTTATAAAAGAACAAACAAATAAAACTGAAGACTTACTGGATCAAGCAAGGTAAGGAAAAGCAGGTGTCACCCAGTTTCTGTTCTGTCTTGTGCTTTATATGCTGCTATAGAGCTTTGGAGGGTTTTTCAGGTTTTTAATGTTTTGGCTTGGGCTTTCCCTATGTTGCCAAGACTGGCTAAAATTTCTGGGTCCAACCAATCGTTGTACCTCAGCTTCTCAAGAACACCCACACTCAAACATCCAACAAATGATATGGACTTTTAAAAACCTGTACCATTGGTTCCCAATGACCCGTTAAACTGTATTGTTTCTCATGTCGTGGTGACCCCCCCAACCATAAAATTAATTTTGCTGCTGTTATGAATCATAATATAAATGTCTGTGTTTTCCAATGATGTTAGACAACCCCTATGAAAGACTTTTTTAACCCCAAAGGGGTCAAGACCCATAGGTTGAGAACGAGTGACCTATAGTATGCTGCAGCCTTTAAAAAATAAGTTAGTGTACTTCAAAACTATGATAAGAACATTTAGGGCCATAGGTTGAGTTCAAAATATCTTGAACTCTTTTTTGAGGCTGGAGAGCTAGTTTGGCGGTTAAGAACACTGACTATTCTTACACAAGTCCCAGGCCACTTCCCAGTACCCACATGATACCCTCACAACTCCATGTAACTCTAATTCCAGTCCTCTGACCCAGCAGCTTCCTGAATGTATGTGATACTCGTAATATATTCAGACACATACATATACACATAGAAAATAGACCCCCCCAATATATGACTCAGTCAAATTGAATCAAGTATGGTTAAACATACCTGTAATCCATGCACTTGGAAGGCAGAAGCAGGAGTACTACTATAACTTCTTGATTAGTCTCATCTACATAGCAAGTAGTAGGCCAACTAGGGGGCACACAGAAAGAACTTCACTAAAAAAAAAACAAAAAAACAAAAAGGAACAAGCAGCCAACAAAGTACAAGATTGTACAATCATCATTTCTCTGGGTTTTGGTTTATGTTGTTTTTCCTCAAAAGGTCTTTATTGGTGATCAGTCTCCATGTGTATATATGCAGTGTTACACAAATTTTTGTATCATCTTTGCATAAGGGTCAGACCAGTCTTGTCTGTATTCTTCTTATTTTAGTATATGTGTTGCCAAGTGAGTGCTTGTTTTGTATTTTGAGACATCTCACTGTATAACACAGGCTGAGCTAAAACCCAAGGCAATCTGCCTTGTCTCAGCCTCTCAAGGACTAGAATCGAAAATGATCTGTAAACCACCCCCCACCTGGCCAATCAAATTATTTAAATTGAAATATTATTTTCCAATCCAGTGGGGAACAAAAAGAGTAGCTGCTGTTGGTACTATTTTAATGGTATCAGAATTCCTTCATTTGAGCTAGTCATTTCCTGGATTAATCCCCAGCATTGGGAAGGAAGAAAGAAATGAAAGAAATGATAGATTTACTTGTTTTTCTTGTTTATCCTTCTCTAGTTTTTCTGAGTGGGATGTCATTGAGTGGAGTGATGATCAAGCTTTATTTACCTTTGTTTATGACTCAATAGAGCTTACCATCACCTTTGGAGAACCAGTTGGTAAGTAGCAAAGCTAAAATAAATAATCCTCTTCAGAGAAATGCATGACTGCACTCACTAAAGATAGAAACATGTATTTAATTATAATAATTACTGACAAAATGGTAATACTGCTGAGAATCTTAGAAGGGTCAGTTACTTTAGTGATAATAGTTTGGGGAAGTTTGCTAGAGTTTGACCCAGGGACTTCTGAATGCCAAGTTTATACTCTACTGCTCTCCTAGCACGAAAGAGCTGAGCATATTGGCATGGCTGGGGCAGGACAAACAATAAATGATATCATCTCAGATGATAAAATTCTCTGTATCCATATACTGTTCTTCTCCTCCCTACTTAGTGTGTGTGTGTCTCTCTGTATGAATTTATTTGAATGGCTGTTACTCTTAAATAATGTTTTTTTTAGATTTATTTATTTATAATGAAAACAACATCCTGCTTCTATGTATGTCTGCATGCCAGAAGAGGGCACCAGATCTCATTACAGATGGTTGTGAGCCACCATGTGGTTGCTGGGAATTGAACTCAGGACCTCTGGAAGAGCAGTCAGTGCTCTTAACCTCTGAGCCATCTCTCCAGCCCCAGCTGTTACTCTTAATTGATTTAATTTTTGTGCTTAATAATGAAGTCCTAGCCTGGGGATATAGCTCAGTGGTAAAACACTTGCCCTGGTATACTAAGGCCTTGGGTTCCATCTGAACATTGTAGGGAGGAGGGAAAAAAGTAATCCCCTTAAAAGTTCTCTGTATAGCCGGGCGTTGGTGGCGCACGCCTTTAATCCCATCACTCGGGAGGCAGAGGCAGGCGGATCTCTGTGAGTTCGAGGCCAGCCTGGTCTACAAAGTGAGTTCCAGGACAGCTTCCAAAGCCACAGAGAAACCCTGTCTCGAAAAACCAAAAAAAAAAAAAAAAAAGTTCTCTGTATAAGCCAGGTAGTAGTGGCATAGTGGCATATATGCCTTCAGTCCCAGTACTCAGGAGGCAGAAGCAGTCTGATTTCTTTAAAAAGAAAATAAACTTAAAAAAATATCTAGGTTCTGCAGTTTAATTTCCTTCAAAGGCCTACTAAATTGATGTCATTGAACAATGTCAGGGGAGCCTTTACCATATATAGAAAATAATATGACTCAAGGATCAACCAGTGATAAGAATCCTGCTACCTCAGAAGAAGAGAATTCTAAAGTAGAGAAAAGAAATGTTTGAGACTAGGGATATAGCTTGGTGCCTTGCATTCATGAAAGCCCTGGGTTCAGTCCCCAGCACTGCATAAACAGGTATGATAATAAATGCCTATAATTCAGGAGATGGATCGAGGAAAAGAGAATCAAAAATCCAGAGCTAGTGTCGGCTACATAGGACTTTGAAATAATAGAGAAGATAAAGAAAATCTTTTTCTGATTCTCCTTAGTTGGTCTCCCTTTCTTGGACAAGGATTACAGGAAGATTAATGAGCTCAGTTTTCAGTCTCTGTTAGATGGTAAGTTCAAAACATTTAAGCCTCCAATTTTGTTGGTAGCTTATAAGTATAAAAATTTGTCTTTAAAATGTGTTTTAGACATAAAACTACTTGTATGGTCTTCTAAATATTGAGTAGATTTTAAAAGAAATTATTTTATTACTATTAGATATTGAACAATGATTAATAAGTTATTTCTGTATTTGGAATTAACTCTATAGGTATTTAGTCTATACCAGACTCATGTATTACTTGTATCAATGATATAAGTAGATAGTATTTTCTGTTTTATCAGTAAGGGAACTACAGATCAGAAAAATTAAATGTTGTGCTTACAATTACTTAGATAGTAAAGAAAGCCTAGATTTGAACTCAGAAATATGTTCCATTTAAATTCATACTTTTCACCAAGCACTGTTCTATATGTTTGTATAAAGCCTTATAGAATATCTTATATAACTGAATATCTTTTTTTTATTTTATGTACATTGGTATCAGATGCCCTGGAACTGGAATTACAGACAGTTATGAGCTGCCATGTGGGTACTGGGAATTGAACCTGGGTCCTCTGCAAGAGCAGCCAGTCGTCTTAACCGCTGAGCCATCTCTCCAGCCCCATAACTGAATATCTTATAGACTTGTTTGAAAATAAAAAAAAAAGCTGGGTGGTGGTGGCACTCAGGAGGCAGAGGCAGTCAGACCTCTGTGAGTTCAAGGCCAGCTTGATCTACAGGGCAAGTTTCAGGACAGCCAGGGCTACACAAAGAGACCCTGTGTTGATTTTAAAAAAGAAAAGAAGGAAGGAAAAAAAAATCTTGTGCAGTTAGTAGTTTGAAAATATTTGTAGTTTATGTAATATACCTTATTAAAATACATGAATAAAATAATATCCTTTTTTTTCCTTCTTCAGAAGATAAAGCTCCTCCTTCCTCCCTTTTAGTTCATAAACTTATTTTTCAGTACATTGAGGAACAGGATTCCTGGAAGAAGACATGCACAACACAACATCAGGTACCCCAGGTAAAGTCTGATAAAGCATTTAAAGGAAATCTTACACTATTTATCCCAAACAACAGAATTCAAATTCTGTAAACTTTATAGTATCCTGAAATTTTCAATGTATTTAACTGTCCAATATTTTTGGTATTATTAAACATTGAAAAGTTTTTTGATTTTTTTTTTTTGGGGGGGGTTGTTTGTTTTGGTTTTGGTTTGTTTTTTCAGGTAGGGTTTCCCTTTGTAGCCCTTGTCCTGGAACTTGCTTTGTAGACCAGGATGGCCGTGAACTCAGAGATCTGTCTGCCTCTGCTGGATTAAAGGCATGATCCATCATAGCCTAGTAGTTTTTGTAATTAATATTTTTAGTTTACATTTAAAATAATGTGGGTGTTGTTGTTTTGTTTTGAGACAGGCTCTCAGTAGCTTAATCTGACTTATATAGCAAAGGATAACTATGAACTTCTTATCTACATGCTTGTTTTCACTGCCCAATTGCTGGGATTATGGACATGTACCACCATACCTCATTTATACAGTTCTGGGGATCAAACCTAAAACTTCGTACATGCTAGGCCCAGACTCTCTCTCTCTCTCTCTCTCTCTCTCTCTCTCTCTCTCTCTCTCTCTCTCTCTCTCTCTCTCTCTCTCTCTCTGTCTGTCTCTCTCTCTGTCTCTCTCCCTCTCTCCCTCTGTCTTTCTCTCTCTTTCTCGCTCTGTCTCCTCTTTGTAGACCAGACTGGCCTCAAACCCAGAGATTTGCCTGCCTCTGTCTCCCCAGTGCTGGAATTAAAGGGATGCACCACCGCCACCTGATGAGATTTATTTTCTATTTCATGTATATAGATACTTTGCCTGCATATATATTTGTGAGTATATGTGTGTATTGCATGACAAGGCCAGAAGAAGGCATCAAATTCTTCTCAAACTAAAGTTACAGATGATTTGTTCACCATCTCTTGTGGGTGCTAGGATTCATACCCAGGTCCTCTGAAAATCTTAACTACTGAGCTATCTCTCCAGCCACTAGGCCTGAAGTTCTAACTGAGCTGCATCCCTACACATACCACACACATACACAAAGTCATTTTTTGTTCTTTTGTTCTTTTTTTTTCCCAGATGCTTCAAGAATTCTCACTGGTAGTGAACCGTTGCAGACTTCTTGGAGAGGAGATTGAATTTTTAAAGAGATGGGGGCCAAATTATTGCCTAATGGATATAAACATGAATAATACTGAGTGAGTATATTCAGTTCCCTGAAGCTGATATAAGGTATTCTAAGTTGTTTGACTTAAATAGAAAATTAACTGATTTAATGTTCTGGCGATTAGAACTCTAAGGTCAGTGTTCGTAGGGATGGTGGTATAAGAGCGGTAAATGAATATTCCATGCCTTTCTCCAAATTTGTGATGGTTTACTGGCTGTTTGGGAACCTAAATCTGTAACTTGGCTATCTACATTCTCACATGGTATTCTTTCATTATGTCTATGTCTAAATTTTCCTTTTGATAAGAATGCCAGTCATACCAGAAAAAGGATCACTCTACTGCAGTAGAACCTCATCTTAACTCATTAAATTTTCAATGACCTGATTTCTAAGGATGGTCACATTTGAGATAATCAAAGTTAGGATTTCCACATACGAATATAAAAGGATATGTTTCAAGCAATGACAGCAGATAACTCAAGAACTTAATGTTTTGAGATGTTGTCTACTGTCCAGCTTGCAGTGATCCTTCTACCTCTGCCTTTCAAATGCTGGGATTATAGGTATGCATCATCTCACTTAGCGTTTTCTTCTTTCTATGTTATATTTGCATGTATTTGTATATATGTAAATGTATGTCACACCTGTGAAATGCTTGAAGAGGCTAGAAGAAGGCATTGTATCCCCTGGAACTGGCGTTACTGGCAGTTGTGAGCCACCTGATGTAAATGCTGAGAACCTAACTCCATTCCTTTGGAAGAGCAGGAAATACCTTAATCAGGGAACCATCACTCCCTTCTCCCTGGAACAACTCACATTGTAACCCAAACTGACCTCAAAAGTGTTGTCATCCTCCTGCCTTAACCTCCAGAATGTGCCAAGAATTACCACCTATAGCATGTGATTGTGATTCAAAAAACAAACTCAAGAGTTCAGTCAGTTAAACACTAGACTTGCAAGTGTGAAGACCTGAGTTCAGATTTTCTGAACTCTTGCTTCAAAAAGTCCAGTATTAGCTAGGCATGGTGGTGCATGTCTGTAATCTCAGCACTATGGAGACAGAGTCGAGAGGATCTCTGAATTTAAGACCAACCTTTTCTACATAACAAGTTCCAGGACTGCCAGGGTTATATAAAGAGACCCTGTCTCAGAAAAAGAAAAGAAAGGAAAAAAAACCTCTAGTGTTATAACCTGGACTTGTAATCCTAGCAGTGGCAATATTGAAGGCAGAGAGAAATGGATCCTCAGAATCTTGAGAGTCAGCTGGCCTAGCCTTTGTGATGATATTCCTGACTATAGAGAGACTCTCACACAAAAGATGGAAGATACTTGAGGATCAGTACCCAAGGTGTTGACCTCCACACATACTGTTCATGTGCATACTTGTACTATCCCTCTCTCCTCTTTCTCCCTCTCTGACTCTTTTACACACACACACACACACTACACTCATGCTCTTAATATATTTCATTACTGTCAATTAGGAAGTAACTATTATCTTTTTTATAATATCTTGTTCCAGAGTTTTACTTTCCTTTCTGTTTGATAAGGGCAAGAAATAACAGCCACCTAAATTTCATACGCAAGTATAAAAGAAAAATATGTTCATGATTTAATCTACTTTGCTTTTATATTTTTAATTGTGTATCTTGTCTTTTATAGATTGAGACTTTTATTCTCCAGTTCTGCAGCATTTGCAAAATTTGAGATAACTTTTTCTCTCTCAGCCCATTATCCCTTGGCCCCACTACCATTCACCATTCAAAATCACCTTGGGAACACTGGGTAAGTAAATATCCACCTCGATAGTTATTCCAGCTACTTTGGTACACTTCTTATTTCATTTCAAATGTCCTTGAAAGTGTCAGCAAACACATTGAGAGATAAATGTCACTTCTTTCAGACTTCCTTATCCCATATTTGTTCTTCTAAAGTGAGTGATATTATTATTGTGGCCCGTGGATGCTGGAGTCCAGTCTAGTCTTTTATGATGGATTCAGTTTCTCAACACTTCTCCCTAAGACAGGAATCAAGAAGTTAAAATTTTAGAACTGGAAGTATAACTTAGTTTGGTAATATGCACCAAGGCCTGGGTTACATTCTCAGCACCATATAAATTGGTGTTGCACACCTGTAATCCCACCAACCTTAGAGGAAGAAGTAACAGGATCAGAAGTTCAGGATCACCCCCAATTAGATCATGATCTACTTTGTAACTTTTTTGACAACACTATGGCATATTAGAGTTTTATAGCTAAAGAAATTAACTTGGAGACCAGGGAGATAGCTCAATTGGTAAAGAGCCTGCCACATTATTATAAGGACCTGTCTTCCAACCCTTAGCACACTTATCAAGCAGGGTACAATGGTATACACACACAACCCCACTTCTCACTAGCCAGCCAGTGTAGCCAATCAGTTAAAGACCATTTCAAACAATAAGTTGGAGAGTAATAAGGAAGACACACCTTGTCTACATTTGGTCTGTATCCACACACACATACACATGTACATGCATGCACAAACACAAAAACATTGTGGGGTAGAGAAAACAGGAGGTGGAGAGATGGCTCGATAGTTAAGAATGCTTGCTCTTCTTCCAGAAGTCCTGGGTTTAGTTCCTAGCACCCACATAGGACAGCCTATAACCACCTGCAATTCTAGCCCCGTGGGACCCAATGCCCTCTTCTGGCCTCCTTTAGCACCTGTCCTCAAATGTGTCATTCCTATACACATAATTAAAAATAAAATAAATCTTACTTTAAAAGCAATTAGGGAGTTTGGAGCTAAAACCCAGTGGTAGGGTCTGGAGAGATAACTCAGGGGTTAAAAGCACTGGCTGCTCTTTCAAAGGACCTGTGTTCAATTCCCAGCATCCACATGGTGTTCACAACTGTCTTTGACTGTAGTCTGATGGGATATAATTTCCTCTTCCAGTGTGCAAATGTGCATATAAAACACCCATATACATAAAATACGTATATAAATAAATCTAAAAAGTTTTTACAAAAATCCTGCAGTAGAATGCTTGCCTATGAACAAGGGCCTATGTTTAATATCTAACACTGTAGGCAAACAACAACTAAAAAGCAACCAGGTCAAGATACTTTGTAATTACATTCAGAATTGGTTTTTCAGTCTTATTTTAGAATAGAGTTTCTATTAAAGTCTGCTTGTTTCCAGAAATATATCCACTTGTGCTTCCTAGGAACTTAAGAGGTGGTATCCAAGGAAATGAATAGCCCCGAATCGGAGACAGGTGTAAGTTTTTCAGGAAAAGTAATTAATACCTTTTTGTCCTTTCTAGCCATGAAGAAATTGCTGCAATTATATCTAAAGTGCCTTTAGAGGACAACTACCTGAAGAATGTAGTCAAGCAAATTTACCAAGATGTACTTAAGGACTGAAACTTTTACCATAAGACTCACAGATCACAGCTGTAACAACTAAGGAAAAATGCTTTACCCAGGCATAGAGGTGTACTCTTGTAATCAAAGGACTCGGGTGAGATAAGATCACAAGGTCAAGGCCAGCCTGGGCTGCCTATGAGACCTGGTGGAAAAACAGACAAACAGAAAAAGTACTTAAATGATACATTAGGGTCACCATTGCTGTTTATCCTTTGTTTTAACATCATATAAAACTAGCAGAATGCCTCCTGATGACATCACAGTTAATTTGTATCATTATTTTTAAAATACCATGTATCGACTTGCTTATCCTTATACTAAAGGTAAAGTGATAAGACATGTGGGAAATTTGCCATAATGTAACTCATGTAACTCACCGGTAGAGCACTTACCTTGTGTGCATGAAGCCCTAGGGTTAATGCCACAAAAACAATTCTTAATAGTGGTGATCTTTCCCTTACTGTAAGCTCTAAGGAATAACTTGTCAGAGAAGATAGGACTTCTGACACAAAGATTTACCCATTTTCTCCTATTTAGAGCTTCTGTATTTTTATGACGTTTGCCTAGCAGATGTGTCTAAAGTAGAAACATGTTGTCATCTTGTGGTACTGTAACAGGAGGATGACTTGATCTCATGACTTCAAGACCAGTATGGTTAGCATAGTGAGATTTGTCTCAATAAAAACAATAGAATGTCTCTATCCATAAACTACTCATCCTCTTTCTCCACTTCAGAAATGCTATGAAGAGAAAGCAGAAACACTTAGCTATTGGAATGATTGCCATCTTTTCTTGAGAGTCTTGGTTTTTTTTCTGCAGTGCCTATTAATGTTTTCTAAAATATACTCCTTCTAAGGAAAATTCATTCATTTTTTTCATATTATGTAAATATTTGAATGTTTTTGCATTTGTGATATATGTAGTAAAGAGATAATATGCCTTCAGTGTAGGCTATTTCCTTCTCTGTAAAGCATACTTTACAGCTAGAATTTTAATTTTTTTTATTAAATAGTGACATTTCAAACAGTACCACATTGCAACACTAGTTTCTCACAATCATAAAAAACTATTGCTTCCAGCTGGGCGTTGGTGGCACATGCCTTTAATCCCAGCACTCGGGAGGCAGAGGCAGGCAGATCTCTGTGAGTTCGAGGCCAGCCTGATCTACAGAGCTAGTTCCAGGACACCCTCCAAAACCATACAGAGAAACCCTGTCTCAAAAAAAAAACCTATTGCTTCCTGAAACCACATTTTTTAAAAATATAAAATCAATATGTAAATTATTTAGTAAATTAATAGTATTGAGGCAGACAAATGTCAAAGAACTTTCCCCCAAGTTCTAGTCAAATCCTAATCATGCTAACTTTTCTTTCTTTCTTTCTTTCTTTCTTTCTTTCTTTCTTTCTTTCTTTCTTTTTTTCCTTTTTTCTTTTTTTTTGGTTTTTCAAGACAGGGTTTCTCTGTATGGTTTTGGCAGTTGTCCTGGAACTCGCTCTGTAGACCAGGCTGGCCTCAAAATCACAGAGATCCTCCTGCCTCTGCCTCCCAAGTACTGGGATTAAAGGCGTGTGCCACCAACACCCGGCCTTTTATTTCTTTATATTTAATTCTAAACTATGTTCAAGTTCATTTGTTCTAATTTTTTTACTTTTTATATCAGGGTAAAGTCCTTTTGGTTCCTCAAATATTATCTTACTTTTTTGATAGTTTTTACTTCTGAACTATGCATGAAAATATCACACAGTCTTTTATGTTTCAGAAGTCAATGTGGGACTCTTTTGATTTAAATTAAGTGTTAGAGATCCATAAAAAAGCGTGTAAAATTACCAGTATTATCTGTTTCCCATAAAATTTAATTCATCCTTCTGACTGAAATTATTTTTCCCTATTTGTCTATAGGTTTTATTTTCTATGTTTTCAAAACTTGAAAACCTACTCCAAGTGATTTGAATTTTAATGATGGTATCTGGCTTTGGAGTGTGTAATTGTATTTATGTAGGTTTTTGTGTTTTCCTGTGTTTAAAATTTTGACAATTTTTGTATTTCCTACGTTTCTCTTTTATTCATTTTCAAGGATTTTTTTATTATTAAAGTGTATTGATTACATGAAATCCTTTATAATTAGTATCTCTATAATAAAAAGTATTTTGTCGTGGGACTTGAGAGGTGGCTCAGCAGTAAGAGTCCTTGCTGCTTTTGCAGAGTTAGTTCCCAGCACCACACAGTGGTTCATAACTGTCCATAACGTCAGGTCTAGGACATCCATGGCTCGCTTCTGGCCTACATGAGCACTGGGCATGCATAAGGAACACACACACATACCTATCAGGCAAAACACGCATATACATATCTTTTTTAAAAGGATATTCTCACTAGGAATAGTGGTACTTTCCTTTAATTCTTAGCACTCAGAAGCCCAAGGTATGGGTGGATCTCTTAAGTTTGAGAGGGCAGCCTGCTCTACAGAGTCAGGTATCAGGATAGCCAGGGCTACATACACAGAGAAATCCTGATTCAAAAAACAAAAACAAATAAATGGAAAAGTATTTTGTAGAAGGTGTCTGGTGGTACACATCTGTAATTGTGTTTGCTTGGGATAGTTAAGAAGTATCACATGTTGAAAGTGAATCTGGGTTCCGTAAGTAATTTTCAGTCAAGCCTCCCATGAACTCCACTGAACCCATACATATCAGTAATACCACGATGGAAGCCAGCGTGGGCTACATGAGATCCTTTCTCAAAAACCAAGACTAGGGATTTAATTCAGTTGGGAGAGTGCTCATCTGGCATGCAAAAGCTCTTAGTTTGATCCCAGATATTGTCTAAACTTACTGTGGTGGTGCACACCTGTAATCCCAGCACTAAGGAAGTAGAGGCAAAATATCAAAAGTTCAAGGTTATCCTTGGCTAGATAGCAAGTTTGGACTACACCCACAAGAACATAGGCAGTAGATAATCCCACACCTCCAAATCCAAAAGAAGAGAAACACTCATACAGTGTCACCAACAAAAATAAAGATAACAGGGACTAGCAATCACTGGTCATTATTATCCACTAATATCAATGAACTCAATTTACCTATAAAAAGACACAGGATAACATATTGGATATGAAAATAGAATCCATCCTTCTGCTGCCTACAAGAAACACAACCTCAAAGACCAACATTACCTCAGAGTAAAGGGTTGGGAAAAGATTTTCCAATCAAATGGACCTAAGAAACAAGCTATCCTAATATCTAACAAAATAGACTTCAAACTAAAATTAAGTCAAAAGAGATGAAGGATATTTCATATTCATCACAGGAAAAGTCCATCAAGATTAAGTCTGAATTCTGAACATCTATGCACCAAATACAAGGGTCCTCATTTGTAAAAAAACAAAACGAAACAACAACAACAAAAAACAGTACTAAAGCCTACATCAAGCCCCACACAGTAATAGTATTTCAGTACCCCACTCTCACCACTAGAAAAGGTCTGTCAGACAGAAACTTAACAGAGAAATAAAGGAACTAACAGATGTATGACTCAAATGGGCTTAACAAATATCTATAGAAAATTTCACCCAAATATAAAAGAATATGCCTTCCTCTCAGCACCTTAAATCCTCTAAAATTGACAACATACTCGGTTACAAAGCATACCTGAACAGATTAAAAAAAGAGTGGAATAACCCCCTGTATGTTATTGGATCATAGAATTCAACAACAACGCTAATTGCAGAAAACCCATAAACTCGTGGAAATTGAACAATGCTCAACACCACTGGGTCAAGGAAGAAATAAAGACTCCCTAAATTCAATGGAAATGACTGAACAATATACCCAAACTTGTAGGACACAATGAAAGCAGTGAAAAGAGGAAAGTTCATATCACTAAATGCCTATATAATGAAACTGGAAAAATTCTGCGCTAGCAAATTAACAGAACAACTGAAGCTCTAGAATAAAAAGAAGCAAACTCATCTCAATCAAATTGAGAGCTGAAATCAACAGAATAGAACAAAGAAAACTATACAAAGAATTGATGAGGCAGAGTTGGTTCTGTGAAAAAGTCAACAACAGCCAAATCTTTAACCAAATTAACCAAAGACTGAGAAAGAATATCCAAGTTAACAAAATCAGAAATGGAAAGGGGGTACATAACAACAGACACCGAGGAAATCCAGGGAATCAACAGGTCATACTTCAAAAACCTGTACGCCACAAAATTGAAGGGACCATTTTTTAGATAAGTACAATGTACCAAGATTAAATCAAGACCAAATAAAGAAATTAAATACACCTATAACCCCTATTAAAATAGTCATCAAAAGTCTCCCAACCCAAAAAAGCCCAGGGCCATATGGTTTCAGCACAGAATTCTACAGAACTTCAAAGAAGAGCAAATACCAATAATCCTCAAATTGTTCCACACAATAGAAATGGAAGTAACATTGCCAAACTTTTTATGAGGCTACAGTTACCCTAATACCCAAACCACACAAAGACACAAATAGGATAGAGAATTACATCCCAATCTTCCTCGTGAACATTGATGCAAAAAATAATAAAATACTGGCAAACCAGATTCAAGAACACATCAGAAAAATCATTTATCATGACCAAGTAGGCTTCACCCCAGAGATGCATGGATGGTTTAACATATGAAAAATCTGTCAGGGTAATCCACCATATAAACAAACTGAAAAAACAACAACACATGATCATCTTATTAGTTTCTGGAAAAGCCTTCAACAAGGAACATACCTAAACATAATAAAGGCAATATACAACAAGCCGACAGCCAACATCAAGCCAAATGGAGAGAAACTCAAAGCAATCCTATGGAAATCAGGAACGAAATGCTGTCCACTTTCTCCGTGTCTATTCAATATAGTACTCAAATTTCTAACTAGAGCAGTAAGACAACAAAAGGTGATCAAGGGAATTCAATTGGAAAATAAGTCAAACTTCGCTATTTGCTAATGACATAAAGTATACAGAAGTGATGCCAAAATTCTACCAGGGAACTCCTACAACTGGTAAACAACTTCAGTAATGTAGCAGGATACAAGATTAACTAAAAAAAAAAAAAATCAGTAACCATCCTCACAGAAGATAAATGGGATGAGAAAGAAATCAGAGAAACTCACCCTTTAAAATAGCTATAAATAAAATATCTTGGGCTAATTCAAACAAGTGAAAGACCTGTATGACAAGAACTTTAAGTCTTTGAAGAAAGAAATTGAAGAAGACATCAGAAAGTAGAAAGATCTGCCATGCTCATTGATAGTTAGGATAAACATAGTAAAAATGGCAATCTTACCAAAAGCAATTTACAGATTCAGTGCAATACTCAGCAAAATTCTTCACAGACCTTGAAAGGACAGTACTCAACTTCATATGCAAAAACAAAACCAAAAAAGGATAGCCAAATTAATCCTGTACAATAAAGGAACTTCTGGAGGCATCACCATACCTGACTTATAACTCTACTATAGAGCTACATATTGAAAACAGTTGCTATTGGCATACAAACAGATGGAACAATGGAATCCAGTCAAAGAACCTGATATCAAACCACACACCTATGATCACCTGATTTTTGACAAAGAGGCTAAAATTATAAAATGGAAAAAAGAACACAACTTCAACAAATGTTCTTGACATAACTGGATGTTAACATGTAGAAGAATAGAAATAGATCCATATCTATCACTATGCACAAAACTCAAATACAAATGGATCAAAGACCTCAACAGAAAACCACTACACTCAACTTCACAGAAGAGAAAGTGGGAAGTAGGCTTGATCACATTGATTGGCACAGGAAACCACTTCTTAAACACAACAACAGTAGCACAGACACTGAGATTGACAATGAATGAATGGTACCTCCTAAAACTGAAAAGTTTCTGTAAAGCAAAGGACAAGGTCAACAAGAAAACAGAAGTCTACAGAATGGGAAAGAACTTTACCAACCCCATATCTGACAGAGCACTTATCTCCAAA